GTACTGAAAGATTCCTTACTAATTACCCTCATAACTTTCAAAAATTACCTGTAGGATGAGATTTAGTCTCGAGCCGTTTTCTCTGTGTTATCAAGTCGAACAAGGCGTCAATTTACAGAATGAAAGTTTAATTTAACAGCACCTGAATGCAGCTGCTATTTACACTGTTATATTAGAAGTCTCAACAATAGTCTTCATTTAAATCATGCAGTATCTGACAGATCGGTCGGCAATGTTAATTCTATTAAGGTGAAAGCTATTCCATTGAATTTTCCCACTCGAAATTAAAAAAAGTTGACCAAACGTAAATCGAAAATCGATTCTAATACAATACGTGCAACATATTTTTTTCTCAAATTAAACAAATAACTGGTGTAAAACTCATAATGAAATGAATAACTGCTTCACCATTCTCCATCTCCAGTTTAACTTGAAACGTTATTTACAAAAGCTTTCCTTGTATGTATTTACAAACGACAGGCTCAAAATGTAAAATTAAAAAAAACGCGCGCACAGGGAGCGGCGCCCGTTGAAGAGCGCCGTAGGTTGCGAAGTTTTCAATAGAACATAACAGATAAATAGTACATTTTTAAGATATCAGCGGACTTATAGATGACAAGATTTCATGATTTTGGACAATTAACATGAATTTTCATTTGATTTGTTGTGAAGAATTATTTTGAAAAGGTGTCAAGAACTGACAGATAGTGTGGAACGAAAATGTTTGCATTGCACTATCTTGAGAAGTGAGTTCAACGACCTTGCACCGGCTAAAAGATCCCTAGCACTCACCATCAAAATCAGAACTAGAAAAGGAAATCACAAGAAAAGAACCGGAACAAGAAATGTTCTGAATGTTGTGGTTTCGTATATTTGTCAGTAGTAACGGCAAAGTAACCGTGGTACCAATAACTGCCATTCGATCCAACCCTTCACAATGACATTTTAGAGAATTCTCAATCCGCTCTCTCCTATGAGTGACCAAGACAGAATATCTCTTTATTGTTAAATGCAATATCAATCAGGCAATAAGTGACGAGAATAAAGAAATATATCAATGAAAGGATTATTAATTGATCCAATACCAAATTATCTGTACTAACATCATAAAAATTGCATGGAAGACAGTAAGTAGAATTACTAATAAGATTTTGGGAAGGATATGATATGAGATGTTTCACGCCACTCAATCGAAAAGCGCTCTATCACTGAAACTGGCGATTTCTGATGCATTCATTGCCTAAAGGTTATCTTTCAGTTGCTGAATCTATTGTTCTCCAAAGTGATATCTGAAAGTTAATAAAAACTACTCAATATCAAGTAGCCTTTAATTGGTAATCCAATGACTTTGCGGTAAAAAAAATGCTGTAAAGAAAATGTGACTTCAATTATGAAGAAGTAGAGACATCTGTTCGACGGAGGGTGTAAATGACTATATACCGGAGGGTGTACCGAAGTTATATCTCGTAGGGTATACTGAGGCTACATTCCGAGGGGGTATACTGAGGCAAGATCCGGGAGGGTACTCTGAGGTTACATCCCGTAGGGTATATTGAGGCTACATCCCGAAAGGTATACTGATATTATATCCTGGAGGTTATAATAAGGCCATATCCCTGTGGGTAAATTTCGGTTACATCCCGTAGGGTATACTGAGGTTTCATCCCCAATAACGCTAACTTGAGCCTGTTTTAGTATAATGGAGACGATCAAAAATAATTTGAAACAAGGAGTAATAGTTACAATTACAAACAAACACTGACGAGGTAGTGAAAAATAAGGCCAACGAACTAAACTCTGAGAAAACATTCAAAGAAACTAATAAAAAACGACTAAAACTATGTGGCTAAAATTACGCAATGAATCATTATATTTGTGAACAAGTGCTGCACTGAAAACTTACACTTGGTATAAATGCGTGTTCATAAGAGTCGAGTTAGGACTTTGTGCATAGGTTATTCAAACGTCACTGAATCACCATCACCAACAATAGCCTTTCCCTGTTTTTCGCTTGGGAGAGTCTAGTATAATACACAAAAAAATTACGCTTGTTCGGCAGGCAATTGTCAAGGTTACTCTCGCGCAGATGATTATACTGCATTATCGATCAAAAGACAGGTTAAATGAGAGGTGCTAAGGGACTGGGACGTCATCAATTAACGTTTCACACTCGCCTGTTCGACCGGTTTTCTCTCAGTGATCAAGGGCCTGGAACACCGGCTCTACAGAAGCCTTTCTCGGAAAGCTAAAAATTGCTTCATGGAGCTTTCTACCCCAGCACACGCAGTTTGACGATCAGAAACCCTTTTTTTTCCGCGTCGACAAGACTGCCACAACTATACATTACCTTATCGAGAAAAATACTCCCAATGTTTTTTCGGCCTTGATTTGCACAGTGCTGCTGATGTATTATTGAAAAATGCTGATATGTTTCATCCAGTCAATAAACAGACGCGTATTGGCTATAAGCCCCTTTTAAAAACCAAATCCAAAATGATTTGGCAAAACTGAAACGTCAATATTTCTTCTTTCAGCTTCAGGGGTGGTATTTTCTCCTCTAACCATTACCAAATGTGATATCTTGTAAATAAAAGACCTTGTCCTTTTGCTTGTGAATGAAATGAATCAAACGAATTTGAAGAACTCACTTTAGAAATGCCAGTGGATGAAAACATTAAAAAAGACTGAACTGACTCTGAATAAATTTTTGACGAGTTATCTGTAATTTGTTTCTGCGATGTAAATAAAAACTTTACCAACTAAGTGGTGCAGCTGTGAATTTCCTGTCTGTTTGGATGAAAATCATTTACCTCAAAAGATTTCAAAGGGTGATTCCTTCTCAAACGGAATTTCGCAGTATTCTTAATTAAATGTTAGATAAAAAAAATAGTTAATTAGAAAGCTGTCTTCTGTAATGATATGAAGCTAGAGCTTGCTCAGCCAGATGGCGGTTTTTTGTTTTTCAAAACTTATGTATGCATTCCTTTGAATTCTAGTGGCAAAACATGACGGAGCTTTTAAAGTTCGTCGTGTTATATAATTTACTTTCCTGATTGGAAATCTTCATGTTGCCTTCTCTGTTTGAATAGTACAACGCAAATCATATAATATTTTATGAATGCAGATACGAATAAAGCTTAATTGTTTGTTCTGCCAGTCATCTGATTGCGTTTCGTCGCTTTTTGTATAACATTAATTTGGTGTTCCAGTCAAAATGCCGACATTGTTTACTTGCCCAAGCCAAATCTCAATTCCGGCGTTCCTTAATTTTTCGAGAATCACATTCTCGCCCACGATCACCCAGGTCAAGTGTCAAACGTTGGGCATGCGCAAATGGATCATTTTTTTGGCTGTGCGCCCCTAACTGCAAAGAATACGAAAGGAAAACATAAGAAACAACCCCTGTCACAGAACGCTTATAAAAAAAATGATATTTTGATAAAATCTTCAAAAGGAAAAAGATTTTCCAAAATGAAGTTTGCTTTATTTCATGCATTCTATTAGCGAACTATTTTGTTATAAGCTTTATTGAAACAGGCGTACATTTACAAATGACCGTAAATTACCAGCTAATATGGATACTTTTAACTCCTGTAGAAAAGTGTTGTTCTGGCGGTCTAAAAGCACATGTCGGGCTCCAATGATTTTTGATCGCCCCTGGAAAATTGAATTAAAATTTATTCGTATCTGAATTCATAAAATTTTATAAGCTTACATTATTACTAAAACAAAAAAGGCAACATGAAGATTTTCACTCTACAAAGTAATTTATAAAATAAAACGAATTTTAAGAGCTCCGTAATGTTTTGCCACAAGAATTCAAGAGACTTCATATATAAGTTTAGAAATTCAATTAAAGCAGCCAGTTTTCGTAAGTCACTCCTCTATACTCATTTAGGGACAATTTATCTCTCCCCTCCCCCCCCCCGTTCCCCATGAAATATCATGTGATTCCCCAAAATCCCCCACATCTACCTCTCCCCACCCCCTTGCCCTTAAATCGATTTCCTGTTTTGTGACGGGAGACTACAAGCTCCAGCTGGAAGTAGATTAGTACTGGTCAAGCGTCTCTTTTTAATGGGCTTTGGAGGCAGGTCAACCTTATAAGTAATGAATGATTCAGTAAGCGAACGTGTCTATGTTTACGGTAGCAATCTGGGTGATGAAATATTAGCAAATCAGTCCAGAATATAAAGGTATTTTCAATAGTTTTTCTGCAAGGTCTAAATGAAATATTCTACATATCATCTTTGAAAGCCTAGACCTAAAAATCCACTTAGGTTGTTATCAAATTTCAGTAATTTCACATTTAAATTTTTCTAGAAGAATACTTCGATGGATTTCAAGACAAACTAAGGAGTCATTTAGTCTCGGAGCATGCAAACGCATTAATGTTTAAATAGCTTGAGAAAATTTCGAAATTTTCTGCTTTCAATCCAACATAATTTGCCATGCTGATAGGGTAAAGAAGCTAAGTTTAAAAAAAAGCTCCCAAGTATGAGCTGATTTGACAGCAGATGTCATGATCTATAGAATTCTCATAATTTTTGAGGGACTGAGCGGTTAAAATTGTCCGTTAGCTAAGGTTTCCATTAAATTTCTGAAAACGAAGTTGAAATTAAGATTGATCGAAACGCCACAGGCAACAAACAACCATGCCGCTATAATGTAAAAGGAGTGATTGCCTGGGGAAAATCAAAGCTTAAATTCAAACTCCATCAACCTTATTATTACGAGAGGCAAACAAACCTTCATTCTAAGTCTGTAACCAACGCAAAATTAGCGTCACATTAGGACTTTAAATCATGAACACGAACAGAAACAATTAAACAAATGCCTATCAGCTGAAGGATTGTTTCCAGAACCACAGGCGCGTCAAAGGATAAAATAGCATTTTTCCAAACAATCGTAACAGGAACCAATCGGCGTTTCCGTCACATATTACAATGAAGCTAAAAATATGTCGAACGATCAGGAGAAATGCGCTGATTCCATCTGGTGTGAACACTAACGAGCAGGTCAACCTCTCGGTTGTTTCGTGGTGAATACGAGCTTTCTCGTCGAGACGTAACATATCACCAGGTGAGAGGAATAGATTTGTGTGTCTTTAACCCGAAAATACCGCAATTGATTCATCTTTTAAACTTCAGTCGGTTTAAACTCGACGCAGCAGCTGGGTGGTCGTGTTTCAGTTGTATTCGGTTTTCTAAATTAAGATTACAAATACGAGGACATGTTTAGATATATAGGTTAAAGAAAGAAAAACATGAGAAATTACTGCTACAAACCGTGCTCTCACCCTTGTAAATTTTCCATTTTGAAACGGACTTATGCAGTTTTAGTTGACGATAAATTCGAAGGACACTTTGTCAAAATAACTTTACAAAAATTAAAGGATCTCGGAACAATATCTCATCAGTATCTGTCTGTCGCGATTGTGTATTCTCGGCAATTATCTCAATCTGTAATGGCCGAATTCCACTCATGATTGAATCAATTCAAGTACTTTAGCTCAAATAAGTATAACTACTGACTGAATTGAAATCCCGCCGAACATTCTCGCGCAACAAATGCTGATTAATCCAAGAGATATTCTTTGGGTTATTTTCACTGCAATTAAAAAAACCTGCTGGTTTTGAACAACAGCAGACGTTGTTTGCTATGCAAAGTGGTTTTGAATCACACGACTGGCCGTGATCTGTTAGTTTCCGTCTCTGTTAAATGATAATGTTAGCACTGTTTGGCTAATAAACTATACTCTCACCGAATGTTTGCCGAGGCGAGTGACCTCAAGAGATCGAGAGATATAAACGTACTATCCATTCTGATAATTCTGTTTTGAAAACCAAACTTTTGCATACAGATTGATCACGAACTTTAAACTCCCTGAGACGAAAAAGTATTACATACTGCTTCGAACAGCGAAGCGCTAGTTTTTTTTTTTTTCTGTTCAACAACAATTTTCAGCTACTTTATACGCTAGTAAATAGTGAATGAGTTTCGTCTAACCATTCCGTTTGAGAAACTTGAGTGCGCAAAGTAATTAATTTTTAACAAAGTTTTTCAAAAGCTAGACCACGTTCGTTACAATAATTAATTTTTTCATCTTCACATCTCTTCAAGGGAATTTGGTTCTTTCGTTCTTATTGGCTTAGGTTTTTCGAATCTTTACATAATAACGTCACGATTACATGCACTAAAGTCTAATTCTTAAAATGCCGTTGATGGACGAATGAGGAGGAACGGTCAAGGTAGTTGAAAAAACTGCTCATTGAAAAACATTAAAATTTGTTCTCATTCACTGACAGCTGTTTATCAAGCCAAGGTGATTTTGAACCAATCAGGACCGATGTTTTATCTTACCGTTTATGTCAATTGTGGTGTAGCTCTGAGACTGCGCGGTTGCTTGGTGCGTTTAGATAAGATGCTGAAAACTAGGATTCTTCCGTTTTTTTTCTAGTTCGTTCAGTACGCAACAAATTATTTCAGTTCCCTACGCAGTAACGGCTTTTTATTGAAACTGGAACCGGAACTGGAACTAAGGCGCGTGTAGTCATAGATCTTAAGGACGAGCTTTAGGTGAAAACAATAAACATTGAATAAATAACTTTGCTACCGTAGACTCTAATTTGTTTGAAATATATTTAAGGGTGATATACTCCAGACTTCATATTGAATTATTACCTTATTGCTTACGTACGAGCTTTTATCATAACAAATTCGCGAAAGATGTCGATCAGAATGCGGGTTGTTATTGTGTAAACTGCCAGTAAAAAATACGAATTAAAGATATTTTTGGATATATGTACATGATGTCGGCTAAGGAATGGGCGTCAAAAATCCGATCCATGCGACAAACATCAGCGTAACTTCTCTTGGTCATGCTCGTTTAAGGATCGTAGTAGCTTGATTCAGCGCGGTGCCGCAGCTAACTTTTCTTAGAAACTCATTAGTTTTGTTTTCTTTTCAGGCTACTAAATCTTCAGACGAGTACGAATCTGTTATCTAACTAAACAAACCAAGATAATTGGTCTGTTACATCGGCGAATACCTTGATACCTTTCAAAAGCAAAAGCGAAAAAAAAAAGACAAAAAGACAACAAAACACAAAACCAACGCCAGGATTTCACTCAACATGGGTAACAGGAAGACAAAACTGAAGAAAGAAGAATTGTCCGAGTTGATGGAATGTACGCATTTTACGCAAGGAGAAATCGAGGAATGGTACAAAGGTTTCATGAAGAGTTGCCCTAATGGGCTGGTATCCTCCGCAGATTTTCAAGACATGTATTCAGATTTTTTTGAAGGGGATGCGTCCGAGTTTGCCAGTCACGTTTTCCGCACATTTGACTCCGACAAAAGTGGGTTCATTGATTTTAAAGAGTTCATGTACTCGCTTTCAATAACATCAAGAGGAAATCTTGAAGAGAAATTGGAGTGGGCCTTCAAGATCTACGATGTGGATGGTGATGGGTACGTAACAAAGCGCGAAATGGAAGACATCATCAGATCCGTGTATAAAATGTACGCAGACAGTCGACTGGGAAGAAAGGAAACGCCAGAACAACGTACGGCGAGGATCTTTGAAAAGTTTGACTTGAACAAGGATGGAAAGCTTACCATAGAAGAGTTCAAGACCGGAGCGAGAAGCGATCCTTTTCTAGTTTTGATGATGCAGTACAAATCATTACACGGTCGGAAGGAGTCAGATCCGTCTATGTCTCTGGAACAAACGTATTCGTGATGATCGGCCGACGACTGGCGTTTTTTTTTTTTTTTAATTTATTTTTTTTATTTATTCAATGAGATGGAAAGGTTAACTAATATGCTGGTTGATTTGCATCAATTTTGCTTGCCTCGCATAATCAGTTATTATGACTTATTGGATATTTATGACAACTCTTTAAGAAATAAAAGACGCTCTTTAGGTAGGGTATCATAAAGCCCGTGCTTTTGAAAGAAACAGAAGTATCTGCAGACTGAAGCTTGAGCATGATTCCAATGAAAGCTTGGTTCAAATTAGACGAAGAAAGTCCCCACGTTGAATCTTGCCGAAGCTGATAACTGAGAGGTATCACTCCGAGTTTTCAGCGATAATTTATTAAAAAAACAAGTACACAAATAAATAAACGGAAGTGCTTCTGCTTTTTTAACAAATTGTATTAATTTGGTAATTCTAAGGGTTCTACCAGGTGAACCTAGGAGAGTGCACCACTCAGACTTTTTAAATGATGTGGCAGAGTAAGGTGTGTGATAGGTGTTTTTTCATAGGAAGTCATCAACATCATATTTATATTTTGTTGAACTCATCACTAAGCGCGATACTTTACTGCCTATTGGAGCTTCAAAGGCGTGAAGTGAAGGTTTTTTTCGCTCCTAATTGGTTCGTCTTGTCGAGATCCAAAAAATGATTGCATGTGCCAAAGGGCAAGCTATATGTCACGACGAAAAACAACACTAAATTCATAATAAATGGTTGTGACTGAATACTTACTATAAAACATCGTGTTATAACTGTTACTTGGATAACTTTAATCATACGTTTAAAAGTAGGCAGGGCTCATAACTGGCTCCGTTTGGGGACCGAGAAAATGCAAGAGTATTTTTGTGAGTTTTGTTTTTTTCCCGTGCCATTTATCCGCAGTTATGTGCAAAGGGTATCGTGAAGGAATGAGCCAAGAAGTTTTTATCAGTAAAAAAGCAGGGAAAGCCTTCTTTGAAAGGATAATGGACTGATGTGTACTCATAGAGTTTTAGTACTTCGTACTTCTAAGATGAAAAATTTCTCCTGAGGATCAATTTAATGATAGAGAGCAAATGCTGTGTCTTCTCTACTTAATGTCCGTGAGTGTCACACCTTGCTTCAAAATGACGAGACCGGAAATGAAAATCAGATATCACGCACAAATTGACGCCAGAAAATAAGTGCGCGCGGTCGAATAAATACGTCACAAAGGCAGCATCCCTGTTACTTCGCAACATTTCAAAACAAGTTTCAACAAAGGTCGCTGCAGTTTACGAGGTTAGGATAGTCTATTTTCAGTGTCGAAGAAAACATGCCGTGCCTAAGGGAAGAAGATAAGGTTGACCCACTCGAAGCACAGCTGGAAGCGCAAATGGAATTGTCCCATCTGCAACGACAGTATCGTTGTTTGCGCAACGATAGAAGAATGTACACTGATGAGACTGAAAATACTTTGCGCAAGCAGAAAATAACTATTGAAGCACTAGTCAAAGAAAAAAAAGAATTGGAAGCAATGATGCACGTAGCAAGCAGTAGACAGAATGAGAAATTTGATCAACGAAATGTCGAAAAGCTTGTCGAGCTCTTAGAACGAGAAGCGCAAGCTCAGGAGGAACTCAAGAAGGAGAAAGAAGCAATTGCGGGTGTGGATGAAAAAGTAGCTGCCATGAGAGAAAAGATCAACCAACAGAGCAAGAAGATGGGAGGAAGTAAAGATGTGTACCAAGAGAAACATGTCGCCAATATGAAGCTTACTCGAATATTGGAGAACAGGTTGGATGAGATGACCAAGAAATTTAGCATTGCTTTGACCGGCAATTTGAAGCTCAGAGAACATATCAACCACGTCGAAGGACAGAAAGCAAGGTTCCTTGATCTGCACAAGCGTCTTCAGGCTGAACTTATCGAAGGAAAAAAGGAAATAGATCGTATTTCAGAAGTGGCGACGACTCATTTCACCATAAGAGACGAAGCACAACACAGGATGGCTTCACTACGCGAGCGCGCTGACCGGGAAATGGCGGTTTATAACGCGGAAATCAAAGACGTCAAGCGCATTCTTGAGCACGATCGGAAACTTCGGAAGTTCATGACTACAAAAGCCGAAGACCGTGCGTCCATTCTAGAGGACGAATTGATGGTTCGTGCAATAAAGAAATATGAAGCTCAGCTAAATGGGTTGCAACAAGAAACCAGCAAGTTTGAGGAGATCTTTGACAAGATCAAGGAAGCTACTGGTATAGAAGACACAGACACTCTTGTGGAGTCTTTTATTGAGAACGAAGATCGCAACTTCGCGCTGTACAATTACGTAAACAACATGAACACTGAAATTGAGAACCTGAAAGATGATATAAGACGCTTGAAGGACGAGATCGAGCTCATCAAGAAAGAGGGTGTCGACAGTGATGTGCACAGGAAGGAAATTTTAAATGAACTTGAGCAGAAGATGGTCGAAGTCACTGATGAGTTGACACTGGTGAATAAGGAGTATAAAGCAAGCAGAAGACAGCTCGAGCTCTTGAAGCCGAAGGTCGAAAGCGTTTTCAACTCAATAGAGTGCGATCGCTCCTCAATCGCGGAGTTGCTTGGAATTGGTGTGTCAATAGATGACAATAACATCATGCAATACCTTGGAATTATCGAGCAGAAATGCAACGAACTCTTGCAAAACAAAGCTCTAGAGAAGATCAAGAAGTTGAACGAGTCTGGCGGAGACATATCCGTTGACGGTTTACAAGGAGTGGGTCCTCAGCCAGCACATGGGAATTTTTTAATTGTACCTCCCCCGATTGAAGATGACAGTGATCAGGCATGGCATTGTAACGATGCAAAACCGCTGACAGTAGAAGAAGTGCAAGCTCTAATACAGCAAGGAAATGTGAAGGGTGGCCTCTCAAAGGTCACAGGGTCTACAAAGCAACCCGCAAAAAGGAAGCGCGCTTAGATCGGAGAAGCTGTACTTTATCGAATCTATCTCTTTTACTGTAAACAAGAAAAGCTTGGAATTAAAGTAATGCTTTTTTACGTAGAAAAGTGGTCATGGATTCACAATCGATTATCAGTGTAAGCAAAGACTATGCTCAGATCATTGGGTGATATACAAAGAGGGGAAGAGGGGTGAATCGGTTGGGGGAAGGTTTGCTCTAGCTGAGATTTTTAATGTCGAGGAGCTCATATCGGATGGGTTATTGATACTATTCATGGAGTAGATGTACTTGAGAAGATTTCGATATCCCGAACAAAGCATAGCCAACACGAAATATATCTGTGGATTAAGATGGCTGGCGAGAAGGATAAGAAAAATGAGGCTGTTTTAGCTACAAATACATCGGAACTTCTTCAGGTGCCGTGTGGAGGAAGGGTCTTGGAAGGTTTAGGCGCATTTGTGGTATTTTTTCTCCCTCATGTGCCGTTTGAAGCGTCTTATTACGAATTCACTTCTTCTTCAAACAGCCCGCAATGGCGAAAAATACCACAAATGCGTCGATTAACAATTCATTTAATTAACCTCATTAAAATATTCGAATTCAGACCGAGATGCAATCTGGATGTGGTAGACATGCAATTTTCAGTAATTTATTCAAAGCCCTCAAAGATTTAGTTCGTTTCATGTCAACAATTATTAATTACGAACAAATAGCGTGATCTGCCTATGAAATAACACACGTGTAATTTACCCTCTCCTCCCTTTTACAATTCTTCTTTCGATCTTGTTTTGAACTTCGAGGCTAGGAGAAAACTGAAGGAAGGGGAGAAACCGCCAGCAGTCGACCAGCGGTGTTCTCGAAGAAGTATGCGCAAATGTTAGGCCACGTAGAATTCCAAGATGGCGGAAGGGAGCGAATCTCAACCAAACAATCCGCTATCAAGGAAATTAAACAAGATCTTAGAAACTAGATTGGACAATGACAAGGTATGAGTACTTTTATACTAAGTTTTATTCTCTTCCCAGAAGAAAAATGTGGTAATGTAGCAAAATTTGTTTTAATCCTGCAGGAAATGGTGGAGGCTTTGAAGGCCTTGTCGACTTTTTTTGTGGACAACAGTTTGCGTTCTCGGCGGAATTTGCGTGGAGATATTGAAAAAAGAAGCTTGGCAATCAATGAGAGCTTCGAGGGTGCATTTAGAGATGTTAAACAGGTAGATTGTGATTTTTTCCAGTTAAAAAACAAAACTGATATGAAATTTGTCAGCAAACTCGACGAGTCCTGTATACAATAAAGCTCAAGGGCTCTGAAGTCGTAATTTAAGCAAATATTTTACACGATGTCAATTGCAAAGAAAGCTTGAATTATAACAGGTAAGAAATTATATAAAAGCCTCAAGGCGACAGCCATAGGCAGCTTTGTGGAAGGTTACACTCATTGCCAGGCTGTCATCAGATAATCTATGAATCAATTCAATCAGTTCCAAGAACATTAGCCCATACAATTTTAGAAACCAGCTCAATTTCATGGTGTCAAAAATGTGCACGAATTGTTACACGAACACATTTATTTCATCTGGTAGAAAATTTATACGTAGTTTTTTTCTATACAGTCATTTTACATTATGTGAAATTGTTATTTTATAAATGTGTTTATGAATTAAACTTTTTGTAAATTCCATGCAATTCAACCTTACAATGCTAAAATTTGATTATTTCAATAAAATATCTAGATCTATCTATCAATCTATTTACTCAGTATGTAAGCAGAACTTTTTTTGCCTCATAGCAACTGGATGCTGTGCATGCAGACATTGAACAAATGAGTAGGTGTTGCACAGAAATGACAAGCAGACTTAAGGTGGGTTGCACTTCAGACCTTGATCTCTAACTCCTATGGCCAAGATCTGAATAGAAATTCTCCCTTAGCCTTTCATCTGCCAGAAGTGATCAACTGGTTACTTCTTCCTATGATATACACATATTATCCAGCAAACAGCAAATGAGAATACTCAAACTTATCAGGTAGAAGTTGTTATCTTGATCCAACACCAAATTCTTGTAACCAATTTATAAGGAAATGTGTGTCAGCTAGAGGAGAGAATTAACTCTCAGATCTTGGGAGTGAAAGGGTTAAATTAAATTTGCTCTCAGCAGAAATTTTATCCATCTTGGATTGAAAAGATTTTCTTGCACATTGCATGAAATGTTTTCAATTTACAAAGTAACAATCTTGAGCAAGTTTTGTGCCACAAGGTTGTAGATTGTCTAAGGAAGCACTTAAACATGCTCATTTTCCAAACCAGTGAACCATAAACTGATGATCAATACTCAAATTTTTTTTTTGAGCAGTGCTTTTGAATTTCAAATTATGGGTGGAGATGTAACGATATTCTTTAAATGTCTTATAGGCATTCGCCTGGTGAGTTTACAGTCGAAAAGCAACTTTAGAATATCTGTCAGGATTTTTATCTGCACATAGAGGTCAATCAGCAGAGCTAACTAAAGAGATGAGCCTTCTTCTCTGTTAATTAGTAAACATTTGCTGGAAATTCATAGGCGCAGTTATTGTAAACATTTTAAACATGCATTTGTAAAATTGACAGAAATGAACTTGAATGTTTTGCTATGGTCAATCAAAGGTTTCAATATAAACTAGGCAAGAACCAGCAAAATTTGCTCTCTGTGAGAAGCAAAATCACAGCCTATTTTCTCTAAAATTTGGGACATTAGGGTAAAGATAGAATTTCCATCAGCCACTTGCTTTGCAGTTTGTACCTTCCACTTCAAAACATATTGACAACCCTTCATTGATGTTATTATGATATACTGATAAGGCAAACCAATCAGAATGCAGGATTACTTTGAGAATATGAAAAGAGTTAAGTTATTGAAGGTTCAGTTGACAGGTTGTTACATTATTTGCACAAATTCATACCAAGTTTCTTTATATAGTCTGCAAGAGACCAAACCTCTGACTTGATAAGCAAGACTACCACACTTCAAGCTGAAAGGTAAATGTTGAATAGTTAATGCCTTCTGGTGATCTGAGCCATTTTGAAAGGTAATTGTCACAGACAATAGTGATGCTCGAAATAATTATATAAATGAAGTCAATATGCATTACTGAGATTAACTAACAGTGCAGCACTTGTGACCATAAAAATTCACAATTTACATGTAGGTAATAAAATTTGGTTAGTAGTGTTGATTTTACGATTTGATTTGATATTAAAAATTTAAATGTTATTTTGCTCTCTTAATCTCTCAGTCAGAGAATACAGATGAAAGAAACAGTCGCAGATGCATTCATTTCAAGATTCCAATTAAAACCGGACGAGGTTCAAGCTCTGAAGGGAACACGGAATGGACCCATTTCTGAGGTCTGCAACATCTTCATTTTGTTTAGTTTGTGTAATCTATAGCAGGCCAAAGTATGCATACATCAGTGACACACTTGGCTGGGCCTTGTGAGCCACTTTCTTGTTCTTACCACATTTTTACATCATCTATGATCTATTACAACTGAACATGTTCAGTTTTGTATGTAATTGTACATGTACTGTAAGTGTTCGAATTTGTTTTTTTGCAGACATTTTTTGAAGCCCTCTCACGAGTTAAAGAAATTCACAAAGACTGCAAACTTTTGCTGAGGACGAAACAACAAACAGCTGGGTAACTGTCTGTAATAACTGATCTTTTGTCAGTAACTTTTTGTAATATCAACAGAGTTGGGAAAACTTCTCACAAAATATGTTAAATAATCTTCCATGTTATCCAGTTTGCAGATCATGGAAGCCATGGCATTACATCTAGAGTCCAGCTACGAGAAGCTTTACAGGTGGAGTCAAGGTACATTGTGACAGTCTATGTATAACTGGGCGTCATATTGATGATGGTGATGATGATTATGCGAGTGAGAGTGATATAAAGAACGATCCTAGGCTTCAACTTGTGACCTCTACCTTTCCCTTTCCCTCTATTCTTGATCTCATAGGTGGGAATTTAACCCTTTGCACCCAATATCAGTATACATATTCTCCATACTGTACTCTATACTGTTCTTATTTATTTCCCCAAGATGCTGATGGGGAGAATTTGTTTAACAGTCAAGAGCTGCGCTGTAGTGATCATTTCCCTTATTCTTTTGACCTTATTGTGTGATTCATGGATAATATTGTGAGGAGAAACTAGATCATCGTCACACGAGGGGTTTTCATGGTTAAACATTTAGTCAATAGTATCGGAAGGTACTGTTGGTGCTGTAATTTAGTAACAATGGAGGGCAGCAACCTCTTTAACTGCTAGGATGTCACCACGGTAACACAGCCACAGCCCTTCTCCCAGTACATGCACTTGTCAATATAAAACCAATATACTGTGGTGTGAAATAAATACAAAACGGGAGAGACAGGGAAAGTGAAAAACAAAGCAAGAGAAGGAGGAAAGCAAATTGGGTATTAAAGCACTGTTATGGTAATTGCTCTTAAAAAACCTTCCTGGATCCCCAAAAATCACATTAGTGAAACTATTCTATTGATTTGGTTTCACCTCGTGACTCAGAACTCCTAGAATTATTTCTATAATGACATTACTGCCTTATTCAAGTCCACCTCTTTCTGTCTCACAAGTGGAACACCATATTACATGTAGCTGTGATTTTAATAGTTCAAAGTAGAACAGTTCTCACTGGGTTACATCTCTTCCACATGCAGATGAATGCAGAGGCCTTACAGGAGATCTTCCTGACATATCTAACAAGCTAAGCAGAGCAATGGCTGCTCTCCAGGACAGGCCTGTGTTGTTTAAGTAAGTAAATACAATTGCAATAAATTTTTCTCCTTCTCAGGCCTTTTGCATTAGACTTACAAAAGATTCTGCCTGGAGAGAAAAAAAAAGAAACCTTGAAAGGCTCTTCTCTTTTTCAAGTTTTACTGTTGGTTGAAGAATCACTTGCAAGCCCTCTTCCACTCCCTGGTGGGTAAAGAATCACTACATGTATGCAACCCTCCACCCACCCTCCTCCTCTCCTTTCCTTTAAAAATGTAATTTACTGGTAATCAATTTTCACCAATTGTCACTTGAATGTATCATCAGATGAACACTGTACTTCTTTTAAAGTCTCTTTCTTTACCCTGTTTTGTAGTCATGCCTCAAATGTGTTATCTAATGTTGAACTTTACATATGCATGCATGTGTTTGGGAAAAAAATGGCTCTTCCCAGTTGTTAGACTGCAAGCAGATCCTCTGTTTTGGAATCAGCTCCTTTCAAGTAAAAAAAAATCAGCAAAAAATAGTTTAGGCTGGTACATTACGTGGTACATTTACATGTGTTTCACTTCCAGAGTCTCATGTGGTGTGCTCTCATTAATTTCATTTTTGGGCTGATTTTCTTCTTTTTATTTGCCCAGCTGTAATTAATTTTCCTATTCCTTACTTTTCATAGGTATACTTTAGATGAATATGGAACAGCCAGAAGAACTGCGGTGGTGAGATGCTTCATTGATGCACTCACAAGAGGAGGCATGTTTTCTTTTAATGTTTAGCCAAGTAAACTGGTTTTGAATGAGGGGAAAATTTCTGAGCAAAATGTAACATAGACTATCATGTTCTTTTTTTAAATTTTTTTCATTGATGGAGCCGATATTTACTGTTTTGAAAAAGTTACACTATAATACACTACAACAAATGTAAGGAAGAAAGACAAAAGCAGGTGGCACACCTTGAATATAAACACTTTGAGGGGCTCAAGTGCCATGAAGATGTCAGCTTGGATTCTTGCATATTGAACTGAAGGGGTGGTTTTTCTTTACAGTGATGTGTAACGTTTTTCCTCTGGTTGCATTTACCTTATAGGACCTGGTGGAACTCCCAGACCAATTGAATTACACTCACATGATCCAGTCAGGTAGGAAAAGCCTAGATTGTTGTAGGTCTTTGATAGTACAAATGTAAGATTTTCTGTAAATGTTACTGAAAAATGCTTGATTTACAAAGTAACAGCTACATGTTGCACTATGTATTGGAATCTTAATTCTATTGCTGTTGGGTTATGCTCCATGCATGTATGTAACTTCACAACTTTAAAATGTGTGTTGCTGTTGTTATTGTTTCTATGTATTTATTTTTTTTCTGTAATTCTTGTTGATCTCTTGTTAAAAAAAGCAACAATTTTTAAGTTTGCAAAACAAGTTTCATCATTCTCATCTTATATTTAGTTGCAAATGATGGTTGTACAATTTGAATTTTCACTTAAAAAATACATTGTAGAATTACGATGTAAGCTTTCAGTACGGAGATTCCTAAACTGTTTAAATAAAATACAACAGAAGCACAGAAAGGTAATAGTAGTATTTTTTAAGTTTCCCTAAAAAACTGAGAACAAAATGGAAACTTTTGGGTCATTTTGCCATCAAAGAATCAACCTTAACAATTTGTGTTACATGCGCATGTATATATGTACAGTTTATTACAGTACCACAATTTTGCATTTCATCCCAGATATGTTGGTGATATGTTAGCATGGCTTCATCAGGCGATAGCTTCAGAAAAAGAACTTCTCCATAGTTTACTAAGAAATTCATCATCAAGTATGTTTTTAATTCTTTTAAATATATGTGTTATTTTTAATCATTGTTACCTTTGAACAGACAGATACATGGGAAAGGGAAATATTCATCTCCGCTCATTCGTTAATCACTTTGCTTTTGCAGCAGACGACAACATACAAAAAGAAATCCTTAGTCACATAACAGAAGGAGTGTGTAGACCATTTAAGGTAAGTTGCTTCATTGATTGGGAAAATTTTAGTTTGCCCATCGAGGCACACATCAGCGCTGCGGCACGTCAGCGTTTTTTGCGCTCGCGAAAAAAGTTTGAGGCCTAGAGTAAGCTAGCCGGCGAGAGGTCGGCCAGAAGTGTGGCTCCCATTATTAGTGCCAGACCCCCAGCAGACTTCTTGCTGTCCTCAAGTCTTAGAACTTATCCTATCGGGCGACGAAACGCTCGTGCTTTTTTAAGTCCCACTAGGGACCGAGATAGAATTTCTCCAGACAGTGTCAGTATAATATCAAGCAGACAAGTAATGAGAATAAAGAAAAATATCAATTAGGGGATTATTGTTTGATCCAATTCCAAATTCTCCAAACTAACATTATATAAATTGTGTAGCAGATTGTAAGGAGAATTACTAATGAGATCTTGGGAGTTAAAAGGTTAAGCAGCTGATATCAGTATTCCTGCTCTAAATGGACGTCTACTCTCGTATTCGTAGTTCATTACTCGAGATCTAATCCAAGCCACGGTTTAACGCAATTAGTGGGCCTCAGGCTCTATCTATGAGAGGGTTGATTCAATTAAATAAATGTCTTCCCACTGTTAACTTTTGGCCGTCTTGATACTGTTCACAAGAATAGATTTTGTTGAACAACGGTTAAACTTTGTCTAAATAACTGGCCTTGAGTGTTTGTATCTTTGTTTGTCTCAATGCGAGACCGTTTTATTGATGTATGATTATTGTAGGTACGAGTGGAGCAGGTCATTGTGTCAGAGCCGGGCGCCGTGATGCTGTTCAGTTTAGCAAACATTCTAAAATTTTATGGCACAACGATAGGGTAAGATGAAAGTTTTATTTCATTGTGTAACAGAGCCTCAAAAGATTGCTAATTAACAGCCCAGATTTAGAGGTGAAAAACAGAATAGTTTGATCGAAATGCCACAGAAGGATGATTGGAGACTCGTTTAGTTGTGGCAGAATTGCCCCCATCCCCTGTGAGGACTCGGCGGGAGTTGTCTTCAACAAAGTGCTAAAAGAAACTTACGGTTCGATAATGCAGAAGAATTTGAGTTGTGAGAACATCTCTTGTGTCTATTTCTTGACTAAAACAAGAAAATAAAAGCTGAAAAAAAAGTTAATACTTTGATCATTAAGAGTGGCCCGATCCTAATTCTCAATATCACCCCTATATCACACATTAACGTCACAGGAAGAAGTTCCTGATTACTAAACAAAAATCTCCTCGTCAGCACCTTAGGAAATGTGGAGAAACTGATTACTGATGTTAGGATTTAAAGGGTTAAAGCGCATTGCAATACACTTTTTGCCCTACAGGAGCCTTATTGATGAAGATGCGTCGGTAACAGTTACCATTCTTGACATGAATGCTCTAGCGTTGAAGATGTTCTACAACAGTTTAAACTGTCACGCGAGCAAACTGCTAGAAAAGGTGAGTGACAAACGCTCTTACTTTATTGGTAAAGGCTTGATACCCTTTGTAGCTATTCTCTGGGTTGTCACGCAGCGCTTCTTCTCTTTATAAACTTCTTTTGTGGAGTGTTGTGCGTAAAATTTGAAAGAACGGCTTTTCCTCATGGCTTGCTTTTCTGCTTCTTTGCCTTTTTGCTCATTGCTTCTTTTCCTTTTTGCCTCTTCGATTCTTTGCGTCTATGCCCGTTTTTATTTTATTATGATTAATCTTAATCTTATCAACTTATTTTGCCGCTTGTTCAATGTTTTTCTAGATTGAACTCCCTCCCCCAGATCTAAGTCCTACAGAATCGCTAAGAGAAACGATGAGTTTACTTAGAGACGTTCTTACATGTCACGATGCTTCTGTTATTCCACTGGATGCCAGGCAAGCTGATTATTCAAGGGTAGGTGAAGAGAAATTGCCATGCAACCCTTTTTTTGAGGTGAATTCAATTCGCACAGCGGTTCAAGTCTTTCCATTGGGAGCACCCTCAAAGCCTAACCTTTCATTTTTTCCGAATGTAATTCCTTTGACATCAGAAAGAGAGCGGTTAAAATAGGGCGTATGCTAAACGTAGCTTGTTGTAGGCTGTTTTTTGAAAAAGAGGCTGTAATTGGAAAGCGCATACAGGTTATTTAGGGCAAATTTTTGTCTGGAAATTTTTATCAAAAAAAAATTAGGGAAGAGTTGTGGAGTTTTAGTAATCTATACTTGGTTGGTTGGAGCGCATTTTGATTAAGTGTTTGAAGTCAAAACCAAAGTAATCACATCAGCCAATCAGATGAAGGGAAAACATATTGAGCAGCCAATGACAATTTAAAGTAAACTAAAGCAAACGGCTTGAAGCGCGGGAAAACGCGGGTGACCAAATGGCAATTGGTTTCAGTTTTAAATCTGATTGGTCCAGAAAATGACGCGAGTTTTCCGCACCAATCACATAGCGAAGTAAAGCAAACCAAGGTAATTCCAGATTACTCTCCATAGCCAATTGAAAATTTCTCAAACTTGGCCTTGTTTTTCTCTACCCGTAGATTATTTCTTGTCTTGTCGACCCACTCATCCAGATGTGCTCCATGTCGGCCAGCCATCTGAACGCGTCAGACATGGCTGCTTACATGATAAACTGCATTCATCAGATACAGAGCACGTTGGCGGTGTACGAATTTACTGATAAACACATCGAAATGCTAGCGGGTCAGGTAAGAAAGCGTGTCAGAGGCTTGAGATAGTTAAGTGTCTGAACAGTCTCTAAGCTTACAAAGTCGATCGTGAGGCTGCCATCTTGGAATTTTTAAGCGAAGTTGGCCTACGAAGAGTACAAAACTTGCACTCTGCATACAGGGGCAGGGAGACGGGGGAGGCGGAGTGAGGACATCTTAAGAGTTGCTTCGCTGCGGCTTTTCCACAAGACTGTCACGTGGCTTTGTCAATCTGAAAAACTCTCGGTGCGAAATAGACCCAATAAATGGAAAGGACGTTATGATACGTCGCAAACTTTTCAATTTTTAACGAACCTTCAAAATGCGAGATGTTAAAAGTTGCAGGATGGTAAACATTCTCGTCCAGTCTACAAGTCTTGCAGAACTGTCAAACTCATTATGTATCCTAAAATCTTGCAGATAAGCGTCACTTGTCTAAAAATTAGAAACCTTTTTCCATTTTTTTTCTTTCAGACGGAAGCACATCTAGATACGTTGATCAGTGAGCAAGCGTCATTCATTCTTGCTCGTTCCGGTGTTGGTAATCTGTACACTGTTTACCAGGAGAACCGCGGTCAAAGGGTGAGTCAGTTGGTGTGCTGAAGTGTTCGGAATTGGTGCGATATTGAATTTCATCATGCAACTTTCTTTTAAACCGTTTGGCACTGCTTTCTTTGCGTTTTTCTCAAGGTTGCGCTGTCCTCGCTTCATGGAATGGATCCGCAGAGTGTTAAGGACGCCATGGTGTGTAATGTTTTCGTTTTTATGTACAGATGTTAATCGTCGCCTCACAGGCGTGAACGCATAGCGTCCTATGTGACCTTTGTTTCGTTCTCCAGCAAAGCATAGAACTTCACTCCCGGGACACCAGATTCCCTGAGTCTAAAAAAACTTAGCCGACAAATTAGGAACGGCTTGTGAAATTCATATATTGGGCTAAATTTAAGAGATTGTACGGAAAATAGGACCTCTTCTCCCACCAAAGTAATTGGATGTTGTGAAGCGAATTCTTTTCTAAAACTGGGCTGCTGGAATAAAGGACGCTAATAAATGACCTCAAAAAAGTTGCGTTTGAGATAAAGCAATGATAATTTTCAAATTAAATAACCTTCTGCGTGAAAGATGTTTTTCGTCATATCACGATCGTGGGACAAAGAAAAAATTTTCAGTCCCCGCGAATCCACTCTTTCTTGGTTACCATTACACAAATTCTGTTTTTTTTCTTTGTTGAAAATGTGACTTCAGTTTCTATCTGGAGCATTGTCGGGTTGATAGAGACTTAAAATAAATGTATTCATAATTTTATTTTCATCACAGGCCAAATTCGATAAATATCTCTCGTGTCCCGACAGTCTAGTTATGCCTCAGTGCAATCTTTTGAGAACGACAAGACTACGGTAAGTTTTTAAGTCATTGTATCTTTGTACTTGTGAATTTTTTTAAAACAAGTATCATTTAAGCATTGAAATTAATAGTTGATTGCAATGGCTAATTTTACTTCTTTTGTTGAGTGATGTAAACACTCCCACCGTCCTTTCAACCAATCAGATCAAAAGATAAGACTGTGAGTTGGTAGAGGTATTAACATGATATCGAGTGCAATTTGGTGTTAAAAAGCACGTGTAGATTTTTCAAAGACAAAAAAATTGTCGAGCCTGTAGGCCATGTGCATTTTGTAGTCTTTGAAACATTTTCAAGTGCTTATTACACCAAATTGCACTAGAAATCGTGGCGATTGTTGTTACTTGTTAATAATGTACAGAGGGTCAAGGCAGACGTAAATTTTGGCAGTGCGCGCGCGCTATTTGTACCTTGCACTCGTGTTACATGAGAATCCATTCATTTTCAGCCAATCAGACGCGCGTAATTTTTTCGTGTACATTATTACCAAAAGAACTGAGACTCATTTTAACCGAAAGGACCAAAGTCGTGTCTGAAAGGTGAAGTGGAAAAGTGGAAGCCGCTTTAAGTTAACCCTGGTTGTGGACTGTTTCAAGATACTCTGCGCCAATCCTCAACCAAATTCTTGGGGACCTATAATGCATGAAGGATTTCATACCAGCTATTTTTTTTTTTTTTTTTTTTTGGGGGGGGGGGAGAGGTGGCATGATAATGAAGGTGTCCCAATAACTTTTGACCAGGATTGCAGTGTTAGGGAACTTTTACCCTCTTTTTGCGCTAATAAATGATGTATCTGCATTTTTTTCGTAGCGATACCGTCCACAAGCGAGCGGTGGATGCTGTTTGTGCAACGTACAAGACGCTCTACGACGCTATTGTGAACGATAGTAACAAATACCCGGATGTTAAAACTTTGGTGCCTCGCACCCCAGATCAAGTAACTTCGCTCCTGACGTAGCGAATGAAAAATTAATCCTTATTTTTAACCACGGTGTAAATAAATAGAATAAGGGAATTTCTTGTTCTCTAAAATAACCCAAACTCTACAGGTGAGGAAGTTAGAATTTTAGTTTGATTGAAAAAGTGATTAATCTTCTGGCTGTATTAATGACCGGTCCCAGTATTGCAGTGCACTTTAATAAACCCTTTTATTATTAAGGGTGAGTCAGTATGTAAATTCACCTTACATTTCTCATACATTTTCATACATAGTGGTAATGAGAATAAAGACACATATCAATTAGGGAATGATACAATGATGTAACAGCAGATTCTCTGCCTTCAGTTGAGGGAAGAGCTCTCAGATCTTTGAAGTGAAAATAGTTAATTGCTGAGGAGTTTCTTCGAGAGTTTTCTCAAGAATTTTGTGAAGTGCACGTTACATTTAGTTGTAAAGCAGAGAATCTTTGAAAACGACATTTTAAGAAAATTATGATTGATAAAAGAACGAAGTACATAATATTACATTGAACTCATTGAACGCGATCAAAGGAAAAAAAGTGAAGAAAAACTAAAAGGAAAACGTATTTAAAATAAATTAAGGAAACAAGATTGCACAGCTTGAAATTTTGAATAAATCGTCACGGTAAAAGTTTTTGTATGCGATTCTTGTTGTTATTAAACTTAAACTGTCTTAAATCAGCTACGAGAGTTCTAAGTGACAGGCACAAGGGTGAATGTATGCAGTGTATGAAGTATGTTGAAACAGACATAGTTTGATGCTACTCTGGTTTGCAGATTTAATGAATGTAACTGAAGAAGTTACAATTCATAGACCCAACGTTTCGACACTCCTGTCTAGTGCCTTCATCAGGGGTGATCTAAACGCTGCAACAAGAGGTCCTTTTATATGATCACTAATTAGCGGCCTTTTTTTCTGACGAGGTGTAAATAGGCGTCAGGAAGCAAACCGCCATCGTCACGATTTAAAGGAGCGTGGGCGGAGTTAATATGCCAAGCCTCCAAACAAAGGCGCTGGTGGTAACGCCGATTATTGGTGATAATTTTAGAATTATCCCACCCAATTGTATGGTTGGTTAGGCATGTATGCTCCGATAAAGCGGAATTTTCCTTTTTGCAAAGAAAAACCGCTTTTTGGTGCTCTTTTAACCGTGTACCAAACTAACGTTTGGTCTGTCCAATGTATTCGTTGTCACAGTATGTTGAAATTCTCGGAATTGGTGTTTCGGTGCTCAGAAATGAAGAAACGTCAATGATTAAGATGCTTTTTATTCGCTTGATTTTTCCCGAGTGCGTGGTGCCCTTGAAAAATGGGAAAGGTGTCTCTGAAAGTCTTTGAAAATGTTGCGACTTTTTGGTCCGAAAAGGAGAACGAACCCTGTCAAAAAAACCAAGGATCTCTTCTCACTGAATCTTACTCCCAACCTCCGCCACGCGAACATCCCAAGCTCATCTTAGGAGGACGATGGGGTTTTCCCTCTGAGCAAGGGTTTTAGCGAAACAGCAATGTAACATGTGTTGGCACACTGGAAGCGAAACGTATCTCTCACCTTGCAATTGGGCTGGCAAAACTACTAAAAAATTGGGTTTACGGCCTGCCCTTTTTAATCATGGTTTCCTTGTCGTGGCTGACGACGCGTCTCTACCGTCAAACGTTGCGCTATTGAATCTTTTGACTTAAGTGGAGGCTGTAGTGAAACACGAAATACCGACATGTACGAGCCTTCCTTTTCTTTGTTCTGAAACTTTTAGCTTCTATAGATTTTTAGAGAAGCTTCTTGGCTCAGTTGGCAATAATGGCGGCAAGGATTTAAGGCCACTTTGAAGCGTCCTTCGCTTACCTTTAAGGATTCAGTTTCCACTTTTCCTCAGTAAATGAGATTCGTATTCTGATATTTCAATGACTGGTGGACTGAGGTAATTCTGCAGTTCCATATCTATTGTAATATGACTGACATCACACTTGCATGAAATATAATAAGACCACTGCTCGCTGTTTTTGTTTTGTTTTTTTTTTTTTTGTATTAACATCCTGATTACTTTATTCAACGTCATTTCTTTCGGAATTTTCATTTCGTTTCCTCAGAAACGAACCAGCGTGGAATTGGCTCTCAAAAACTCTGGTGACTATGTTTACTCAGGTGTATACACTGGAATTCAAAGTGGTTGGAAAATAATTTTTTTTGAATTGTTTAACACGTGGTCAAGTAAGTTTCTAGACCAAACAAGAAACAGAAAAGTCTGTGTTGATTAAACGCTTCACAGAACACAAAGCGTCTATTTTAAAACATCATGCGTGTATTTTAAAACATCATTTACTTCCATTCTGTTTACTTCTAAACGGGAATAGAGTAGTGAACGAATTTACTGTATCAGTGACAACTTTGATGATCATAAGTTAAATCTAACAGAAAAGTCCAAGCATACGAATCTCCACCCGAAGCTAAATAGGCAATCGTTTTAGGACTGAGGTACAAATCGTGAAATTTTAAAAAGCATCAACAAGTTCCAGTTTCAAACTTTTGTCGTCAAAGGTGAGATATTTTGACCTGGTGCTTAATTCTAATGACAATATCCGTCTGATTCTTATTCTTTTTCATTCATTAAACAAATCCTTGGACGAAACACATGGCGCCAAGCTGGCTTTGTGGACTAATTTTATTAATTTACGTAACTTGGTAGGTGTGATCTTTTTCTATTTCAACGATCAGCTGACTTTCATTTTTCCCCGATCTCTTCACACAGTCGGTTATTAAATTGAGCAGGCTCTTGAAGAAAGAACCTCCAGTGCCTCCGCGTTTCGGTGCAAGTTACCACAGAAACATCCAGTTATCAAGATCACTTTTAAGCACACTAAGGTACGCTAAATAAATAATCCCCTCCGCCATGAACAAGAGGTTTATTTTTCAGATGTACAGACACAACTCTTTTTACTCTCAGAAACATTGTCCCCGAATCGTCATCAGTCCTCTCACCATCCCAACTAACGTTCCATATAAGAGCTGCCTAAACTAGTTCGCGAATACTTTTGAGTAAAAAATAAAGATAAATTATCACGTTTTGTTCAACCGTTTTGCAATTCTCAGATGCTTCTAAACCCAGCCAATCATTTTCCATGTGAAGCCGCGTTACAACAGACCAATACTAGGGCCGAGATGTTTAGTTATAATGAAGACCAGCTTCAAAATTACACAGACTATTTTACAGACTGGGATACGCCGCCACAGCAAATAGAAGGTCAAAAGCAAATCCAATACGAAACAGAAAAAAGAACAACTCATCCATACTCACTGCAGAGAGAACCACTAGATAATCGAAGGGAGAAAAATAGGGAACGAGAGCGGAAAAGACAGCAACGTTTGAAAGAAGCTTTTGAAGTCCTTCGCACGGTGATACCCGACTACTTTTCGGGAATTGAACCCGGAGAAAGGCTCACTAACATTAAAACTTTAAGGCTGGCGAAGAAATATATCGCTTCACTACATCAATTGTTAGGAAACAGTTAGTTTAGTTTATCTGAACTCTAAACCTTTTGACTCCCATGAGTGACCAAGACAGAATTTCTCCTTACAACATTAATACAATATCAACCAAATAAGTGATGAGAATAAAGAAAAATATCAATTTGGGGATAATTAGTTGATCCAATACTAAATTCTCTGAACTAACATTATAAGAATTGTATAGTTGACAGTGAGGGGAATTAAAAATATGATCTGGGAGTTAAAAGGTTAACACGACTTTCCTCATTTACAGTGCTGCACCACTATACTTTGTATGTTGTAGTCTTCCCTGAATCAAAAAACAGTATCTTCTAACTCCAATATCTCTTAACCCCTTAACTGGGTTCATACATTGCATAAAAAACCATAAATCTTTGAAGTAACTTTGTCTCTCCATCCAACTCTGTCATTGATTCCTTGCTTCAATTGGCCAATTGTTCAATCCATAACTAGTCCTTTAAAAATTTGCAGAGTACATTATGGCATACCTCAAATTGAATCTAGTAAGAAAGAACTGGCTCATGAACATCAGAACATCCAAATATTGATGATACTGATGTCTGATAATAAGATGTAAACAGAGGAGCAAAATTTGAACTGAGAACAAAATCTAGGTATAACAGATGAAAAGAGTGCTGTAAAGTAATCTCATTATTCTATTTAATTTGACACATATAAAAACATCCTTTCAAAATTCTACATTAAATAGTGGAAGCCTTTCATTTCTATTTGTGGACAGGTAAAAAATTTCTTCCTTTTTTTTTTTTTTTTAACCCCTTAACTCCCATGAGTAACCAAGACAGAATTTCTCCTTACAATACCAAGCAGACAAGTGATGAGAAAAAAGAAAAATCTTAATTAGGGAATTATTAGTTGATCCCTTACCAAGTTCTCCAAACTAACATCACAATAACTATATGGCAGACAGTAAGGAGAATTACTAATGAGATCTTTGGAGTTAAAGGATTAACTCTCATGAGTGACCAAGACAGAATTTCCCTTACAATACAATATCAATACAATATCAAGCAGACATGTAATGAGGGTAAAAAAAATATTAATTACATGATCATTGGTTGATCCAATACCAAAGACTCTCAGAACTAACATCTGCTGTATGGTAGACAGAGAGGAGAATTAATAATGAAATATTGGGGGTGAAAGAATTAAATCAGTTTTTCTAGGTCAACTACCATTCATTTTAAGATCCTCATCATCATCCCACACAACTGTACAATCAAACACATCCTCAAAGGATTCTACAAAAGGTTCAATGGCATCTTTGGTTTGTACAACTTGGTTAGTCTCTCTTGTAAGTGATGTAACACCTTTACCAATAATCCCACAAGGTGTAAATTGTTCAAACCAACTCAGATCAATATTGCAGTTCAGTGCAATGCCATGAGTAGTGATCCAATGACCTGCATGAACACCTGTAAACACAAGTGGAACATTAATTATAAGGTAATTAACTCTTAGACCCTTACAAGTGACTAACATTAAATATTTCCCAACAATATCCTTTCTGAATCAGACATAGAGTTCAGAAGAATAAAGGAAATGATAACATACTAATGACGCTCTTGATTGTTCAACAAATTCTCATTGTCAACACTCTATAGGGACTGTATAGAAAACAGTATAAAAAATATGCATACTGATGCTGGGCTGTAAAGGGTTAAATCAGAAGTGACCATTATATGAGATCAGTCTCTCTGTAGTACAGCTACATGAACTGGATGCTACCTCTTAAAATGGGGGTACACACATGTTGAAAAATTGAGAGAGCAGGTCAATCTGACAGACCCTAAACAACACAGTAAATATTTGAGAAGTTTCAAATATTTACTGAATTTCCTGTGGTAATTTACTTAAGACAGTCATGTATCTCATTTCCTAGCAAAATTGTTCTTGTTCTATGTCTATAGTCCAAGGTCCATCTGAGTCAGAATGTGCAAGAAAAAATGCAAGAGGTTTGTGCAATTGCTGTTTAATGCTTCAGATTTTCATGGTGCAGCGATTCAAATTTGCAATTCTCGTACACATTTCCATACCTCACTCCAATTGCTGAGTCACGCAGACATTAGTTTCACGGCTGCCACATGCATAGTATGATTCTAGTATAGGCAACAGGCATTTAAGAAAAGATTGAGGCATGAATTTGCCATACTCTGATCTGCAGAGTGAACTGAGGTTTGCAAAATGACGTAGTAGCACTAAGATCAAGGCATGAACTTGCCATACTCTGATCTGCGGAGTGAACTGACGTTTGCAAAATGACGTAGTAGCACTAAGATTTTCCTTCCTTCATTGTCACACCTCTTCCCATATAGAAAAAAATTTTTGCGGGAAGTGCGCTGGTTCTTTTACGTCCTCTAATTTATCTCATAACAAACCATGAGCCTTTCTGTTCTCACCTATGGCAGCAATTTTGTTGTCCTTAACCCAGACGCCAGTGTCACAAGTTGTTTCTGCGTGAACACCAAACCTCTTACAAGTTTCTATCAAGGTTTTTTCCAAGGAAGCAACATACCATCGTAAACTTTTCTTGAAACAAGCTAAGTTTAGCACAGGATAACAGACTAATTGTCCAGGACCGTGAAATGTCACTAGCCCTCCACGGTTAGTATAGTGAAATTCAGCTCCAAGATCCTCCAAGCGCCTCTTCTCCTTGGCATCTACGCTCTTCTTTCGGATTCCGACGGTAAAAACGGGCGTATGCTCGTAAAAAAGCAAAACGTTTTTAGCACTGCTTGTTTCTTTGACTTTTATTTTTTCCAAGTGCTGTCTAGCAATCGCATTTTGAACTTCTAAAGCCGGTAGAAAACCAAGTTTCTCCAATTTTCGAGCAAATACCAAACGATTAACAGCCGCCATGTTGAAATACTATGTAGCCAGGCAAAAGAGATTTCGTTGCCAGTCCCTTAGGAGTTAACCGCGTGATTTCCAATATGTCGGACGAAGCCAGTTTGAAGTGCACCCATGTAATATTTGACTTGGATGGATTGATGTTAGGTAAGTTCAATTATTTATTTCGCTTACACAATTCCAGGACTTGTCAGGAATAACTTCCAAGCATCCAAATTTTGAAAAAATACCGGATTGTGGTACGCAAAAAATAGACAGCTGTAACCTGGCTGACTTTATTATTCCATGAGACGAATTTTGTTTACTGCTAATTAAGGAAATTGCAAATCGGCAACCGAGATGAATAATTTGAAAACATTCAAATCTCAATAATAATAACCAGGCTGGAATTATTTATGAAAATTTTACTAGCCAACCTTTTGGAAACATTCCCATTTCTCCCTCTTCTATTTTGATAACGAGAAATTTTGACCATCAAAATAGGACGAATAGAGCTTTATATTGAGAGGGGAGCAAGGTGGTTGCTTCTTAAAAGAACACTGTAAAAAATTTATTCTGGAAGAGCAGGGAGGCAAGATCTCAGAAATGTAGCCAGCCCATTTTACTGAACTTTGATGTTGACACCTGGACATATACATACATTTAACTTTAGGGGACTGTTTTAAAATATAAGAAGTTAGCTGTGGCCTATGATTGAATATGTTTTTTAGACCAGGAAGGTTACAATGCATCTTTAGGTGTTGACTGAATGAATAGTGGTTCATTAGGAAGTAAGAAGGGTGCTTCTTTTGCACAAGGTTGCAGGTGGCACCTGCATGCTGTTAATGATATTTGTGTTCAGAAGTAGTCTCTGATGAATATAAGACATTTTACTCAATATGTATTTTTATGAAATCAAAGCCGCTAATCTTGGACTCTAGCAGAGCAGGAGGTTCAAAAGAGTGAGAGGTTTGGAGGCTTAAAAAAATTATACAAAGATTACAGGACATTCATTAGGTTTCTGTGGATTGGACATTATGTAGTATACCAACTTGGCAATGGTTTTTGACTGAAAATTACACTCTATTACTTTTGAGCTCAAGGTGTTATTGAAAACAATTTATGAAGGCAGTTTACCCACAGCTGTGCAGAGTACAGGGGCATGGTAAGGATTTTTTAAAGGAAGGAGAGAAGGGGATGACACTGTGTCAAGCAGAGGGTGTTCACAAGTTTTTGCCACCTGAATATTGTAGATTAATTGCTTAAAAAGGCTTACAAAGGGGGAAGGGGGGATCACAGGTGCCCAGGACTCCTCCTAACTACACCCTTGGAAAGGAGTTGTTGGACCCTTGAATGTTGAGGGTCTGAAAATAATTGTGTGAAGATTCAGTTACATTATTTACCTAACTTTGATTTTTTTAATTTCAATGACATCTTTTGATAGAGATTATTGCATCAGTTATAAGTTAGTAAGAAGTCTTATAATTTGGTCATTAAGTTTAACCCTCTAACTCTCAAGATCTGATTATCAATTCTCCCCTCTAGCTGCTACACATTTCCTTGTTAATAAGTTATGAGAATTTGGGGTCAAATCAAGATAACAACTTTAACCTGATAAGTGTGAATGTTCTCATGACCTGTTTACTAGATAATGTGTACATATTATAGGGAGAAGTTACTTGTTAATCACTTCTAAAGTGATTAAAGGGTTAACATGTTCTCTTCCACCTTTCCATAACTTTGTAATATATCAACTCAGCTAATGAATTACACTCCACTTATCAAAACAGTCCTTTTTCAGGACTTTTTTCACCTGGATAATCAGACTTTGTTATTAATGGTTATATCAATAATCTTTCAATATTTTGCACCCTAGATACAGAATCAATTTACACCAGAGTGACTCAAGAAATACTAGACCCTTATGGCAAGACATTTGATTGGTCAGTTAAATCAAAGATGATGGGACGCAGCCCGATGGGAGCTGCTCAGGTTTTGGTAGAAGAACTTCAGCTGCCACTGACATCTGAAGAATTTGTTGAGTTGTCAAAAGAGAAACTCCTGCAGTTATTTCCATCAGCTCCTTTGTTACCTGGTATGAATGTAATTCTTTTAATCAGGCTTGTGAGAGAAGAACAGATGGTGGGTTGAAAGGTTTAAAAACTATTTTTTTTCATTTGGTCATTGAGATAAGGGAAGACGATAATTCCGAAATCAATATTTGGGAAGCTAGTGAGAAACACGAAGGTCCAGTGCTCAGTGCTATGGACTCAAAGTTGAATGTTAATTTAGCATTATTAATAGAGTTGATAACATAAATTGACCACTGTAAAGACTTTAAAAGCTGGTGTTTGAGTGTTAGCACTTTGTCAGAGGTGGAAATTCCTCCAATCACTCTGAAAAAGACTTCAAACACCAGCTTTTAAACTCTTTACCATGGCCAATCTATATTATCAACTCAGTTGATACTGATTACCCAGTTATACTCCTCCACTGACGCAGCACCACAGTTTCTTTAAGAACTTACCCCTTTATCCAGATTAAAAGGTCTGTTTTCTTACCCAGGTTAAGTCATTGTGTTATGTTCTTGAACAAGACACTATTCTCTCAAGGTGCCTCTTTCCATCCAAAAATATAATTAGACATCAACAAACTGTCAGGGAAACTGGACAAAATACTGGTGGCAACTAGATTATGGGTAGCCTATTCGCAGGCATACCTTTCCCCCCATCCTCTCTTTTATTTCACCATGTAGGCTATGGGATGAGCTGGATTCCAGTCCATAGGGAGTAGAAATATATCTTGCCAATTCTTGCTTCTGAAACAAAGATAAGCTCTAACAGAATGGCACCTCTGGCTTGTAACCTGCCTTAATGTGAATGCAGAAAGCTTCTGTAATTTACCATAGGGCAAAAGGCTCTAAATGCTGGGTCTTGACTAGTGACCCAGGAAAGCCAAAGTCACCGAAAGTAAGTATTTCATCAATAGGCCATTTTCAATATACTGAAATTCAAACTTGGCTCTGAGGCTTGGGGGAATAAAATAAAAGAAATCACATCAAGATTGAGGGATGAATAATTAATTTCTTTTACTTTATTCTCCCCAGCCCTGGATCCATTTTAGAATTTTAATACATCAAAAATAGCCTATTGCCACTTGGAGGAAACACCATGAGGGTAAGGGAAATTGGTCTGTTTAGAATTGAGGTCAATCAAACTCTTTGTAACAAAAGAGGATAACCTGTAATAACGAAAACAGGTGTTGAAAAAAACTTAATTGTGGTATGGGCAGGGCCCCATTTCCGGAAAATCCTGCCTATGTCCCTGATCCAAATGAATTCCTGATTTTTATTATTCTTGCATTTATTTTCTTTTTTATATATATGTATATATTTATTTACCTGTAGGAGTAGAAAAGCTTGTTCGTCATCTTCACAAGCACAAAATCCCCATTGCAGTTGCTACAGGATCTAGTGCATCCCAATACAAAATCAAGACATCGAATCACAAAGACCTCTTCCAGCTTTTTTCGCATACTGTGAAATCTGACGATCCAGAACTGAAACACTCTAAACCTGCTCCTGATATTTTTCAATTGGCTGCCGCGAGGTTTCACGCCCCTCCCACCTCACCACGTCACGTGCTTGTACTAGAGGACGCACCAAACGGAGTCACAGCTGCACGCGCCGCTGGAATGAATGTTGTCATGGTACCCGATAAGAGGGTAGATAGGTCAAAATGTTTGCAGGCTCATTTGGTTCTTGACTCACTCGAAGAATTCGATCCAACCGCTTGGGGTTTTCCTCCCTTTTGACCGAAAAACAATTCATAGACATAGATTGTGCGGATAAGAATTATCTTACATTTATTAGCTTTTCACGAAAATTTTGTAATCATTCACATCTGAGATAGATTTTCAGTATAACGTAAATATTTAAATGAGTGGTTCGGACAGGTATCAGTGTGTCAAATTAAGAGCGAATGCATATTTATCCTCTCAAATATCAGTATTGCTAAATTACAATGTCTTCATTTAAAGTGGACACGAACCAAACGAATCTTTGTAGTAGAACATTCATTCGACTACCGATAGCTCGAGCCTTCAACGGAAATTGAAAAAGGGTTCGAGTTATTGGGGCTGAAAACAAAGGACTGGAAATGAGGGAAAACGGTGTTTACTGTTTTAATATTCATACAGTGTGCATTTTAATCGAAGTTTTTTGTATAGAAGTCGAGTGAAAATGGAACACCAAATTATTGTTGAAATCAGAAAGTAACGTAAAGTGGCTGCTTCAGAATAAATTAAATGTTTTGAATCACAGTACACTGTTTTGATTTGTTGTTTGATGACAGACGTGGTTCGACGCAGGTAGAAAATTATCTGAAGAGAGACGAAAATTGCCTCGAGTTAGCGGGGGTTCGAGGTATCGAGGAATCGAGTTACCGAGGGTAAGACTGCAATAAATGTATGCCGGAAATCCAAGTTAGCGAGGGTTCGATTTATTGGGAATCGACTGTATTGCATCCTGATCTTACTGAGTTCCGCTAATCGATCCAATCACTACCCGCGAGTTTTACGGGAAATTTACCAAACCATTTGACTCTAAAGAGTGCATGTGATTAGCATCTAATTTCTCACAACAATATCACCCCTGAATCACACATTAAGGCCACGAGAATACGGGAAATATTCACCAACCAAAGAAGCTCTTGATGATTAAACAAGTTCTCCTTGTCAGCGCCTTAATAGATGGCAAGAGAACAGTACGGAGAATTTGCATACTGATGATAGGGTGTTAAGGATTAAGTAAAGAACCAATTTATTCACACGGATACTCTGGCAAATAGAGGAATAATCTGCTATTTTAAGGATCCACCTTAGTATACATTGCAAGTTAGTATATAGAGCAGCGCAGCGCTTGCTTTATATTTAGTCAACGGTTTGGCGCATATCACAAGGTATTTCTCTTTTGTAATTGTTCCAAGTGGACGCTTTGTAGCATATAGCGTTATCCAACCTTCCAACAACCAAGTCCTGGGGTGTGGTAAGTAACAACGCTTACCTTTCTCAATTGCGTTATTGGGTTTTGCTAAATTGTTCCTTCAAAATTCAAGTGCTATAACACTCAAAAGTTCGTTGCTAATCTTCGTACCATAGATTACTAACCCGCGTTCAGGTTAAATCGCTCGTCCTTGAACACGAGTCATAGCCTCTGGTAACTGTTGCCTTTCGATAGCTATGCTTTTAGTCTTTGCAATTCGAGTTTTAGGTTCTTTTTCTGAGAGTATATAGTTCGTGAATCCAAACGTGTTCTTTAAATGACAACGTCGCGATAAACTGAGTTTTATCTTTTTTGATCACACCAGCTCCACAGTCCGCAACTCTCCAACCGTTATCTTTCGATAGCTATGCTGCTAGTCTATGCACTTTGAGTGTTAGTTCGAGAATTCAAACGCGCTCTTTAAATGACAAACGTCGCGATAAACTGAGTTTTATCTTCTAGTTCCTCTTTGTTCTCGTTAGCTCCGCAGTTCCTCACTATCACACAGGAGGAAGATCAAGCGAGTCATATTTGTGTTCGAAGAGTTTACGATGCTAATCTTTCAAAGTCATAATCACATAGGCTTCCAGACTAGGCTTGTTACTTTTCACGAAAAAACAAAAGGAACGGGTTTTTTAGCGTGTTATTGTTAGTTTAATGGAGAAAGGGGTGTTCTCTAAAAATCATTTCAATTGTTAAAAAACGAAGTTAAAAAATTAGTGGTTACCTCATTGTCAACCTGAGTTGGAATAGTCTAACGATCATTTATGCAACAACAGGCCCATTTCTCGAAAGACATGGTCAATTGCCAATCCCGAATGGCTTTTCATTTTTGGTCGTGTCTAACATTTAGGATCGAGGTATCTATTGGTTTAAATTCAAAAAACAACAATGTTTATTCATAAATGAAATAGAACGTGTTGGGTTATGAGCCAAGAATAAAACTATTATTCCTTTGACTTAAATTTTAAAATATGGTTTAGTGCCCATAAAGTTACCGAAACTTTGGAACAATGGGCGCTTGGACGACAAAACAGAATGTATCGAGTGGGTAATGGAAACACCAAAAAAAGGACAAACTTTCCCAGCTGTGAGAAGGTGTTCAGTTGACCTTACAATCATGTAGGTTCACACCAAACTGATGTAAATAATACATGTCTGTGATATGGCTTAGAGAAACACTTCAGATGTGTTACAGCTACACCGCTCTATTTTTTTGGTCACCCAAATAAATTTCGAATTACACTAAACAATGGTTAACATAAATGAATAAACGAGGGAAGCTTTTTAAGAAACTGTGGTGCTGCGTCGACGGGAGAGTATAACAAGTTCTGACAAAGGGCCAATGCTCGAAACGTTAGCTTTCAAACTCTTTACAGTGATCAATTACGCTTAGCTATCAACTCAGTTGACAATACCAAATTACCTTGTGTGGTTAACAAAACTTACTAACGTGTTGAAAACATCAAAAGGTATTCAAGTTGTTGTCACACTGAAAGATATGAATGACACTAAAAAAGGTGTGAAACACAATTCAGCCGTGTGTGCACCAAATTAAAGTTAATTTTCCCCACCACTGGAGGATTTATAATTAATTATCCTTAGTGTAAATTAATTTCGTTCCGGCGAAAAGGCGCGGTGCCAGCACTTTTTCAGTTTTCTTAACAGGGGATCTCAATGGGTTTAACCGTTAGCCGTAAAAACGGCAAAATATCAAGCAGTAAGGAGTACAAAGCGTCAAATTCTAACCGATAGTCGCAAAAAAGAAGTCAGCAGTAAAAACTTTTTTTAAATGTAACGGAAGGAAATAAACCGTTATCCTTAAAATGGCTAAAATTGTGATTGTTAATAAAAGCTATAAAAGCCTTCGCCCCATGGAGCAGTGTTGGGACCCTTTAAACAAAGGGAATCAGGAAATAAAAATTGAGATTGTAAAAATTAATCACTACTCTAAGTGATAATTGCTTCATTTCTTTTATTAAAATTTTAGCAGTGTATAGCAACGGAACTTCTGGTCAATGGACGAACAATGAGAGAAGCCCTGAATCTTGCGAAGACTTATCTCACGGGACTCTCACATTACCACGTGTTTGACAGCGTGGTCTAAATGTTCTATCTTTCCCTACTGAGAGTGAGCCACCTACCAAGTAAAATTAAAGTGTTTACGAAGGGCTCAATTCAAAATGAAAACAGTCATGTCTGAACAAAAGACCTTAATTTGAGCTGAGCAATAGGATAATATAGGATAGGATATTACCAATAGGATGGTTTAAGTTAGGGCCAAAGATCATGCAATCTCAGTCTTTCTAATCCCTCTCCAAAGGTGCTTGCCTTAGAATAATTTTGATAGTTCTCTTTGTTTCGCTTTAAAGTCGTCCTGGAGTATTGCCCAGTTTGGCTTATCAAAGTAAAAGTTAAGTATTTTAAGTTTACTAATCAAGTTTGATGGTTATTTCCTAGACTTCTAGCTCACTTAATAAGGGTGTTTTTTTGGTTTCCTTTTTTCAGAAATTCCTCGAACTTATTCCCGTCCTAAATTACTCGTTTATTAATCTTTTTCTCTCTCAATTTATGTTACACATTTTTCATCTTTTTTACGCTGTGAATTTAATGTTAAAACAAAAATATCCCTCAATCGATATTTCTACTCCACCTCATCACCCTTTTTTTTGAAAATGTATTAATACTAGCTGTAAAGAGGAATTCTTCTTTGGTCATTCATAGGAGTGAAAGGGTTAATCACCTCTTAGGGTCAAGTGCAAACTTTCACAATTACGCAAGATGCTAACCTGAACTCAGGAAGAATTCATTATATTTCTATGACCTGATTTGCATGGTAACACGGCTTACACTGAACTTTCAACCACGCCGGCTTGATAAAATGGTCGCTGAACTAAGTCATACTGATGTAATTTAGCTGTGGCGGTTGATTTGAACCTCAGGTCAGATTGACGTCCAACTATTTTTTGGCTCACAACGTTCTTTCCGATTGCAATGGATGAAGTGTATACAGTGCTATATATCCAGTTTTTTTTGGAAATACATTCAGTCCGATTTGAAGGCTTTTCAGGCTGGAGTTTTGGACATGAAGAAAAGAATAATGTTATATCTTATAGTTCTTAACAGTGTATGCCTGGAAATTCAATTTTTTCGGATGAAATTACACGACATCTTTATTTAATACAGTCATGGAAGTGCATGGCATGACTTCAAAACAAAATTTTCCCTGCTCAATCAATGAACATATTTTCTTGCCTATAGAGCTACGCTGGGTGCGCTATACGGCGTCTATAGCATAAATTTTTAGTTTAGTGTAAAGTTACGCTGAAAAACTTGTTTCTTTTTCAGTTAAGTTTTTCTTTACGTCAGAATAGAAATTTCAATTGGGCGTCTGGAACGAGTGTTTAGGGATTGAGTTGGTCTCGTTTTACCGTACATTGTGATTGGTCCACAAAACTCGCGCCACTCTCGTCGTAACCAATCGCGACATGTTCATTCGCGGGTTTTCCCGCGCTGCATCAAGGTAGCATCAGTACTTTTTCCTGATTTCTTACAGGCTTCTTACGGCTTTTATCTTTGTCTTAATCGGAAGATTTTATAACTTTTGTTTTGGTTTTACAGCAATCTAAAAGCGCATTTCCTTTCCGTACCGCGTACAACTGTGTTGCTCTGAAGCATAACGCTTGCTTAATTTTCCAAATACGATTTCGTTCTTACCATGACTTTTTAATGAGTATTGGTCAAAAGCAAAGAATGAGAATTGGAAAATCATATATTTGTAATCGTTTTTATTGACACTTTTTATTTTACTACAATTTTGCTTGATAAGTACATAGGTTGTTTTTCTTTTGAATTTGTCGTATTGCACACTTTTTTCTTTAAGAAGTTTTTATTAATAACGCATGTTTTTTGTTTTTGTTTTTTCAAATAAAGATTGGAACATATCTGCCCCACAAAGTTCACGTAACATTATATATCTGTTAAACAGGTGAAGTCATTGAAAGAGAAATTGTCATTTTCTCTAAAATATCCACAACCGCAGAAATCGCTCATTGAAGTCTGATCATTATCATCGAGCAGTTCAGACAAAGCTTCAATGTAATTCGTAGCCAATCTGAGAGTTTCAATCTGAGTTAGCTTTCCATCAGGTCCTTTCCCCGATAAATAATCTGGAATAACACTGCGAAGCACATCGAAAGCGCTGTTTAGTCGGCCTTGTCTTTCCCTTTCTCTAGCGTTTCTCCGAAGCTGTCTGTATCGTTTGACGGGCGCCGAAACAGTAACCTTCGGCCTCTTTCCGTTGTGTTTTCGTGTTTCTTCGTTTTTTTTCAAAGCTTGTTCGCGATAGAGCCACGGATAACGTCGCTCCTCGGCAAAAGTAACAGCGAATATTTTCTCCTGTTCAGGCGGTTGAAACGTCACTTGGCTGACCATTATTTACTTGTCAGTATTCCCTGTTAAAAACCAAATTTAAATCATGAAAATGAAAAAATAGACTCCGCGCTCCTTTTAATAACGTGCAATGCTTGATATTTTTTGTTTTATAGAAACTGTTCACTTGTTTGACTTACGGATCGTAAAGTAGGGGTGAAATTTGTTATGAATGATCACTTTTTTGTTAGCCGCGTACTTTTGTTAAAACACAAGGTATAAATTAATCAAGACTGATTAGTTTGAGTCTGAAAGGAAGTTGTGCTTGGATATACGCTGTAACTTCGATTGACATTATTACAATATATGCTTCAAAAAGAGTAAAACATTCCTTATTGGATAAACCCGATTTTTTTTTTTTACTGTTGTGTGAAGCAAAAAAAAAATCAACTCCACAAGGACAAGGAGACAAAAAGTCACAGCAGGAACTCTTGGAATTTATTTTTCAAAAAGCAACCTTTTGAAAAAGTTCTCTTTACGTGTCAAAATCCTAATTTTGCGACTACAAGAATTGATCGATTGATGCTGGTTGATTGAGCGTAATATTGCAATTAACAAAAGGTCTTGAAAAGAACGGTTCTTACCTTAAAAAATTGTGCTAAAATTAAAACATCTCCGAGGTAGAAAAACAGATTTCTGTGCGGAATAAATTCTGACACTCGCACAAAATCTCAAAGAGGACAATTGTCTTTTAAAAAGTGGTCGTTTTAGTTTTTCTTTCTCAAAATCACGAAGCCAGTCAACTGGGCGCAAAGTAGTAAGCGTCGTGTCTGATTTTTTTACACGTGAAAAAACTTAACAATTCTTATTCAACTCACGTCTCAACTGACTTAAATCTAGCGATATCGTGTAACCGAATAATTTATTCCAGTTGAATTAACAAAAAAGACGACCATCTCAACAAGCTGATTTTTCCCTTTTTTGTTCGATGGCTGCTTATGACTTGAAACATTTTTTTTTTCGAGTATGAGAAACATTTGTAGCGAGGATTCAAGAATCTATTCCCAAATTGCCAGTCAGAATCATAAACAACGCCGAGGAAAGTGCATCATTTAATGGAATAATAGAAGTCTGTTTTGTTAGTTTTAAATTTCTAGTTTATCTGGTCTGATTTAGACAAATAAAAGAACAATTCCAGACACGCTGTCTAGCGTTGTTTCGGGTTAACGTGGGGGGGCAAGTCTTGAAAATCGAAACGTCCGCGTCATAAATTGATTTTAAAATTGAATTGTTTGTTATGTGGTTATTAGTTGTTCTTTTTTTAATGGCAAGTTAGCGGCACTTTGCCAAAGATTGAAGACTTCCCGTGAAGTTACTCTGTGAGAATATGATTTTGCGTCTAGGAAAAATTGAAATAACTCTGATCTCCTTTAAGAGGTAAATACCGCAAAAATATGAACAGTGTTTGAAAACCAGGGCGTTTCGCATAAGTTAAAATGGTGCGAAAACTAAAAAGAATTGCTTATTAAAAATTAAGACTGCAACAGAACTCTAATTCAGATCTAAATTTTGTTCAAAATTAATCGTAGGAGCATTTCCTAGTTGGCAAATATAACAAATAAAATACTCGCTTACCTCGTGTTTTTTTTTTTTCGTAATATCGCCGACTTGCTCTATGGCAATACACTTTAACGACGGTCTTTTAACTTGTAGTGCGTTTGCTGAGGTTGCCGTCGATAATTTGATAATGGGTCGTGATGTGCTCTTTTAAAGCCCGTGAAAACAATACCAAAACTTATCCGTACTGGAGTGAATACAGGGCCATTATCTGCATAAAGAGCGTTATTATATGCACATATGATCGCATGAGCAAAACAAAAACAAGGGGTTTTCGAGTTTTAATTGTATTTTTGTCTATATTAAGAGATCTTTATCGTGTTTAATGAGATCATCGGCGGATAGCCAAAAAAAAACGCGCCTTTTTCAACGTTTATCAATAAGAAATTATTATGATTAAGATGATCAGTGATTACTACTTTGCGATGGAGATTCCTTATAAAGAATCTATGAAGTTGTAAACAGCAAACACAGAAAATGAAACAGAAATAAGATGTATTAAAAGTGCTCTCGAGTAATCACTGGATTGCTGACACAATGCGATCTTTTAATAAGTTCGCTGTTTCTGCGAGATGTTTCACAGAAGAAAGGCTTTATATCTATTTACTCTTGATATAAATGTTTATGATAACGGAGAAACTCATCATAATTTTTTTACGTTTTCCTCGCCAATGTTCCTTCGTGTTTCCCAAAGAGATTTCAAGCGCACTTGATAATGTATTGTGCGCATGCGCTTACAATAGGGGTGAGAGGAAACAGTTGGTTCCGCCTGGATCAAAACGGATAATGCGAATGTTCTTCAACATTTCCTTCATTCTCGAAAAATACAACAACTGAACAAGTAGACCAAAACGATTTTAGTTTATACCACACCCGGCTCTCTTAGAGACAAAGTTCTGCCTAACGTCGGCTTTCGTTTTTTTTCAAGTTATTTTTGTTTTTGTTGTTTTTTAATTTCTAGTCAATAAAAAAGAGAGAATATGCCTCTTGACGCCGTTGCTTCTAAATTTTTGCACAAGTGACTAGCCTGCTGGCAGCAGTGGAGTTTACTGTATAGATTGTTGTAGCACAGTGGAGATTTCTTTCGAACAATACAAGGTACGCACAAATATTTACAGAAGACGTAAAGAAAATTCCGTGAACAATCATCGAGTCAAAAGGCATTTTGTGCCGGCTCGCAAAGTGACAATGACACAATGATGACACGCTCTCGCATTAAGTTTTGTCGTGGGGAAACTCATGTTGAGTGTCGAGTGTCCAAAATTTGCTGGAAAGTGGGTATGGACAGGCACAAGTAAATCATTTGGCAAGGGATGCTTTGTTCGAGTTTGGGACAGGGGTGTCGTTAGCTTCTCTTAGCACACACAAGGAGACTTATCCCTGTACGGCTTTGAAAGATCAAGCACATCTGCATCGCCTGATTACAACTGTATAACAATGAACAATCACTTACGAATGATAACCCCCGTTTACCCATGTGCACAATATCTTTTCTTAAAAGTTATCGACAGGGTGTGGACGATATGGAAGATAAGGATACGCCAGGCTGTCCACACATGGCCGAGTAACTGCGGCAAGGAATCATCTTCAGGAGATTCTGGCAACAAGCAGGCGAACATATGAGTGATGTAGGCTTCATTTAATAAACATGATCTCACTCAATGAGCCACATGTCTCGATAAAAGGATTTTTGCATAATCATTTGAAACCTTTTGGAGAATGAAAAAAATCAATTGTTTCCAATTATTATTGCCAAAACCGTGTTGAGTATTGACCGCAAGCGATGGAAATACGGGATAATGAATGGAGTCTTTTGACCGCTTGTAATCCATGACATTAAACTTAAAAACTGCACGTGTATTTAATAACGCATGAACATCGCAAACAAGGTTCGAGGTGCGTTTCAACGAAAGTGATATCATGTTTGTTCGTTCAACATCCGGGAAGGGTCGACCCAACTCGGTCGACCTTAAAAAAGCCTTCACATTTCCTCTTGTTTACATGACTAAAATAAACAAGAAAGCAGTTTGTAAAAGAACTTTTCAATGAAGCATATGGTTGAAAATTGTTCCCCAATCTCAAGCTACTAAGAGAAACCATCTCGGCCGCACAAGTGACAGCTTTGGAGGTTAAAAATCAATTATTTCCTGAAGTATTAGACAATAAGGCAATTGGAGAGTTCGAAAAGAAGAGCAAGATGACATAGGGGACAAAGAAATGTTAAATTCTCGTGTAATAGTCATACTAAACTAAAGGGGAGGAAAGCTAGCCCTAAATTCGCTCTACGAGGGCTGAAATGTTATAGTTCGCACCGGCTCAGCATGGCAAAGAAAAAGACCATCAATGATCTATACTGTAAGACAGATTAGGGGTGTAATTTATTTCATATGGTTAAGGGTAACGATCGACACCTGAGCTTCATAGAGAAAAATAAACGCCTTTCTGAGTAAATACAAAAACCTAGTTTGCCTGGAGTTTGATAAGAAAATATAACATTTTTTCGTACCTCACTTTGGTTACCAAGCGCTTGTGCTCAATAAAACGAACCTTTGTTGGGTTTGATTTAATTAGCATCTATTTGTTTTGTTTTATTTGCCACCAAAATGGCATAAAAACGGGGCCTTAAAACCGACTATTTCGGCGTGATTTTGCTAACATATTTCCTCCTTGGGAAAAAAAATGCAATATAAAATTCTTTCTTCCTATCTAAGGTAAAAATGTTTCAAGTTGATTCCATGTGTTTATTGGAAGCCTCCATGTCACTGATTGACCATAGAGTGACAGGGAGTTGATAGAACAAAAACAGGGAAAAACGGAATTTAATACTCTTACCAAACCTCTAATTTATACTTGATTTCTTAGATGTCAACCTAAATAAAACGGCATAACGTGTTGTGGGATAAAATCTAATGACGCAATAGATGACCGGGTCTAAAACATTTTACTCTATCCACTTTGCTGGAGGCTTCTGTTCTTTTGTGAAGAACAATAGATCGTTTATATTTATTTCTACCATAATGAATGTATAATGATTCTCAAAAGAGGTAGATGGTTAATCCTATCTTCTCGTTTTCACGCAATTATCCCGAATTCAGTTGGGATACTTTCAATAATGAATATATAATCTTAACGCGATGCTACACGTTCCAAGGAGAGAGGATTTCGTTTCTCTTCTCAAGTTTTTGCGGTTGCAAAGACTTGCCGATGTGTGATTGCTGCCGGCCACGAGTCGGAACAATAAAACACAACTAAAATCAAAGTTTTACTTCTAAACGAGTCCACCTGCACTAAAATGTTTCCAGTTATTTTAGGTGAAAATATCAGGTGCCATCTCCAGATATTGAGCACGTTTTAACATCGTGTGCTTTGAATAAAAGTTCTGCTCGGTCTGCACCGCGCGACAGGCACAGCGTCCACGACACAAGGAGCCAGCTGCCTTGGAAGCCGCTAATTTTTACGACCAAATGTTAAGAAAATAAATATCTTTCATAGAATGGAATAAAATAAATAGATTTAATATGCGTTGATTTTCACTGTAGCATCATAACTCTCCATGCGATTTTCATAACTTTAAAGTGCGCGCTTGTTACCTATCTACTGCCGGTAAACTTCTTCCAACTTTCTCGACTTCCTCACAGAGCACCTCAAAGCCATGGCCTAGCAGCGAGGACTCTACGGAAGCAATTTTACATTTCAAACGAATCAAAAAGTACGTTAGTGACTGAACTTGTCAGTACTTGAAAGTTCTGCAACCTGTGCTTTATTCCCTCTGCTATAAATCAGATTGCAAAGACGTCTTAAACTATTGGACTTAGCTTCTTTACTTTGCCATTACATCATATTAAGTAAATAGGGAAGTTTTCATAAATGAAAAAGGATTTGTATGCCTTAATATTCTCGGTTGACCTTTTAGTATTTGTAAATATTCACTATTATATGGATTAAACCTTAAGTGATCTTACTTATGCCCAAGAGGATTACCTCTCAGTCGCATAACAGGTTAATAGGCTCGAGTGGCTTCAGAGTGTCGCTAATCGGTTAATCTACACGTAGTTTACTAAAAACACACTGTTTATGTAAGACTCTGTGTCTTTAACGCTGAATTTATACATTGAGGAACAATATACACACACATGCTACATAATAATAGAATAAACGATTTGAGTTTTTGCATCGATGTTAAATCTCTTTTTTTATCTCACGCATTCCCATTTTTCATGCAAGTTTTGGTATCCAGGCATTCTCACAAAATCACATAATAGTATTTTACTAACGTAACTAACTTCGTTTTAACGGATAAACCATTCGTGACTTGAAAAACCTCCTGTGTAAGTTTACGCGGTAATATATTTTCTTTTATCAGCACAATGTCCAAGGTTGAGAGCACTGATAATTGTAAAACAAACATGTTTTGACTTGAAATTGGTTAATAAGCAGATGCCATTGTGTAAGTTAAATGCCGGTTGTCACACCTCTGTAGGAAAGAGGCAGTAAGATCTTAAAAGTGTTTTGATAACACAAAGAAAGTAAATGGTTCAATGTCCATCACAACTCGCCGAAAAAAGCTCGGTAAGGAAGTCCTTGTCAAGATATACAATAAACTCTAATACTGCGGAACAAAAGATCCTTCGCCGCTCACCACAAGGTAAAAAAAAGTTTACGCTTGGTTATGATTCCGCCAAAACTTTTGCTTCCTCGAGAAGACGGTTTAAAAAAAGCCGGGCGTAAAAACGGCAGAGTGATCCCCTAACACGCTAACACCTGCCACAAAAAAAGGTTTAAATGATTATTAGGGTTAAGTTTCACTCGACCAACAGTAAACATAGTCTATCCTTGCCTGACAACAAGAGTTTCCATTAGCGTGACTTCGGTCGGCTGATTTGCATGTTTTCTGTAAAGAGGCTGTCATTTACTTCGTCCACAAGGTGGAAAAAGGAAATGTGCGTTAAACCCACTCGAGGATTATCTTGCGTGGCTTTTATTCAACTTCAAAATGTTTTCTAAACAAATCCGACTTAAGGTTAATCCGCCTCAAAGACAGACGCAGGGATTCTTATAAGACTATAATGACTGGTGGAAAGCTCATCAAAGTCAACGTTAATTCTGCGTCATCAAAATCCAATTACTGCCGTGAGACAGAGGAAGTGTTTGCAATTAATCATCGATTTTTATCATGAACCGGCATTAGAGTGGAGCATAGGTCATGTCAAGGATATTCATGCAATGATAGATCGGGTTTTAATTCGAAGAAATTTCTCCTTGGCGTGATGGCGAAAAAAGAGCAACGTTTTGAAAATCACCCAATAATTCCATTCAGAATTTACAAAATTTGCCAAAATTTGAAAATGGTCAATCGAAAACGGAAAAAAATTAAATACAGGGTTTAAAGCTCAAGAATCATCCTCTTAAATTTGACTTGGATAGAATCGTATTCATTCAAAATTTTGATGCGAAAAACCATCGGTATAAGATAAAATTGCACAGCCATTGCGAATATTGACCGTTTCGCGTCGTGTGTTTACAATTGTTCCGTTCATATATTGTTGCCAGAATAATTTGGAGTTTCTGCTTAACAGAAAAAAGGTATCCATTTATCTAAGTCAGTTCTCAGATATCTGCAAATTTAAAGCGTCTGCTAATTCTTTAAGTGCAGAACTTATAGACGGGAATCTTATCAGTGATTCAGCTTTAAGTTGTTTAAGTTCCCAAACCTTAACTGAACCCAACCTCTCGACAAGATGCATGGTGGCTACATGGAACTGTGGCTAACTTAAAGGAAGTCTACACGGCAGAAATTAGTTATGAAGTTGACACCAAGAATGCAAAGGTCTCCACAATTCTATATGTAGATTATCATATGGTCATAATTGAATATTTAGAGAACCAAAGTAGAAGGAGATAACATCAGAATTAATTAACTCCAAAAAATGGTTAAGAGCCGGAATAAACCTTGGTGCACGTCAATACAACTTTTAACTGGTTTAAGAGAGGTTTCAACTCAGATTTCATGCTTTTTAGAATAACTTTCAAAATGAAATAATTGAAGCTGTATATGTCAGAACAATTTTGGGTCAAACTCTTACTCCGGATGAAAAACATTCTAAATATCTCGGTGATACCGTTCTATTCAGAATCAAAGGAAACTTACTGAAACATTTATCCCAAGGTTCAAGTCAGAAATGAAAATACCAGTAACATGGAAATTTGGCACAACAGGGATCTCGCTACATTTAGCAGCGTTTATGCCCAAAAGTATATGTTAGACGGTTCCCCCCTAATCTACTGTAACATTCCGGCTTACTTTGCTACAAGGTTGGTTTGACAACCATGGTTAGGTCGTTGAAGAGAATCAGCTCCTGCGCATCTCTTTAACCACTAGGTTTAAGTTCTATTTCTTGAATAACAGTGTTGTTTTTCCTTGATATGAGTAAATGAGTTAATAAACTACCATTTTCGAACATTCAAAGGAATACGCCAGCGTTTCATGATTTGTCAGCGTTTTGCACTCCGCGTGCCTATTGGGAAAACAAATCTAAATGTCCTAAAATATTAGTGGGGTTAATTAGATTTGTCTACAAGACGTACACAGCTCTAATATTCCCATTATCCTTTTCAGTCCCTGGGGCCGGTGATTAATACATAATTTCTCCCAACAATAGTGATGCATCATCAAGCTGAGAGAGTGTGAAGAAAGAAAGGAGAGTTAGACGATTTTAGTTTAGTTTTAAAGTTAGATGATTTTATCCCCACATAGGATTTTGTGATATTCCTATTCCCCCCCCCCTCCCCTCCCCCGCCTCATTGGCAGCCAATGTTCTACAGTTCCACCTTTTTCCTCTATTGGCGACGACTGACCCCTTTCCCCCTCCCCCCTCCTCCTCCTCCATTTCACCTCAAGGCCAATGGGATTCCCCCAAAGAATCTTCCACACCTTTCGGAAAATGAATGAAAGCTGGTCCCTAATAGGGTGGGCAAAGCTGTCAGGGGCTTTAGACAAAATGATCGAGAGTCACACTAAATCATATACTGATAAATTGCAGGATATAACTTGTGCTCGCGGTTGAGGCCCTGTTTTCATCTTTGTTTGGCAAACACAAGTAGACGTTCTCAGTGTGCATGTCCAGGTGACATGAAGACTTTGAAATTATCCTCCCCTCGCTCTCCATGACACTCGCATTCTATCGGACAGACGGGTAACACACTTGGCTCCGCAGCTAACAGCCGCAATGCGCAAGGAAACACATCCAAGCGCCCTTATTGAAGAATAGCCGTGGCAGTTGCCGGTGTTAGTTACACCTTTTTTTGGTCGAATTTTGAGAGAAATCAAAGTAAAGTTCAGTTTTTTTCCCCACAAAATTACCTCAGCGAACAAAAATATTCCCGAGGGGTTTTTCCAGGATGTTCAGGAGACCATTTTATATCACGACTGATAAAGCTTGGTAGCCATATTTGATTTTTTTTTCAACTACAAGAGCGTCGGGATTGAAATTTGATTAAAATATCGGATTACCAAAATCACAATATGAAAGCAAATGTACAAGTCCCAATTAAATGTTATATGAAATAATTTCTAATTAGCACGTTACATGGAGTCTGTGTCATATAATCGAGAAACCAAAAGACTCGCGGTCATTTGCTTCGTTTTATTCGAGAAAAAAATTTGACTAAAGATAAATAAGTCAGCATTACATGCTATTCAATGAAAAAACTAATAATAAGTGCACAACAATAAATCTGTTTCAAAGTTGCCAAAACTTGAAGGTAACCATGCATTTTACCCAACTGAGCAGCGAAAGCTGTGCAATCTCAAATTAACTTTGAGATCTCACAAAAAGTAAAACGTTAAACTGGGTCCAGTTGTATAAAGGGCGGATAACTCTATCCAACGGATAAATCGCTATCCAACGGATAAGTGTTAACAAAACGCACTGAAAGCTGGATCTAGTGGATACTGGCCATCCAGTGGATAGCGTTATCTACCCTTCTCAAACTCATTACTAATTCATGCTGAGAAAACAAAGGAAATTACAACCGTGAAGGAGGTTTGGATATGTGATCTTAATTATCATAAAATTTGGTGAACTTTTGCTTTGATTTTCTCCAAGAATTATCAATGGTTTGAGAAGCTATATCAAACATTCGAAAGGTTGTTTAATCCGATATCCAAACACCTTGAAGTTGGTTAAAACAAAAACTCGGCTGCGCCTCGTTTTTTCAACCACTTCTCGGTGTTTAGATATCGGATGAAACACTCTTCCTCGTGTTTGATATATTACTTCAAACAACCTGGACCAGATCTAGAAATTTAACAAAATATACAACCGTATACAAAAATAATTTTTCTCGTTTATCTCATCGCCCTTTGGATCTTCCGTTGGCTAAATGCCGTTTCGTTCTTTTTAGTTTTTCAAGGTTTTCGTGCACATTTTCGCTTTGTGGATCCAACTGCAATGCCTTTGTGTAGCATTTCTCTGCTTTGCTGTGTTTTCCCCATCTGTGGTATAACACACCTGTTAAAAAAAGTGAAAAAAAGGCAAGTTCGCATTAAAACTAGGCCTGGCTGGCCTAAAATGAAACCACCATATTTACGATATCATTTCTTTCCTGGAAATTGTCTTCCATTTACCAGATACCCCCTCCTTCTCCTTCTTTACCGTATATCTCACCACCCCATTTTTCTCAATTTCCCTCCCCCCCCACTTCTTACCCAAATATTTCCATCACCTATCCCACGGTTACCCCACTTCCGTCTTTGTGACCAGATACCTCCAACTCCCCTTTCCTTCCCAAGTATCCATCCCACTGACTTCTTAACTGGATACGCCGAGCTCTCGATTATTTCTCTGATACCCTTACCTCCCTAACGGTTTTTAGATCGCTCCAACAAGCGCTTACTTTCAAATCCTAGTGAGATCATCAGCGAATTCGACGAGAGTGCTATTGATATAAATCTCTGTTGTAATCAATATCTTTCTCTTGTAGGTGTAGACAGTGTAAGACCAGTTTTTTGTTACCTTCCAGTAATATGAATATATGTCACTGTTAAACATGCATCACTGAGTATGAAATTCTTACCTAGATTGCCATGAATTTCAGCAGAATTTGGGCTTAATTTGAGAGCTTCCAGAAACTGTTGCTCGGCTTCCTGTAAATCAAAAACGCTCCAATCGATTAGGTCATAATATATGGCGTACATCAAACAAATCTCCTTTTTGGTCAAGAAGTTCAGACTTACTATTGGGTGTTACAACCTTGCCATTTTCGATTGTTGAAGTTGAGTAAAATATAATGAAATATCAGCTTTCAAAGTTCGGATTTTGTGTTTGAGTGTTTGGTTTTTTGTTTGTTTTAATTTTTCGGATGACAAATCAATAGCCCTAACCCTGACCCTAAAGAAAATCTATTTTCGAATGCATAAAAATGTACTTACCTCAACCTTTCATGCCGGCGCGCAGGCTTTTATTCGCGCTGCGGCATAAGCGTTGAAGCTTACGAGATTTAGCCCGGCGAGCGGAGCAAGCGTGCGAGAGGTTTGTAAGGGGTTGGGCTTTTAAAATCACTTTCGTGCCAGAACTTTCGCTGACCTCACGCGCACTCGCTTTTCTCGCCGGCTCAGAACGCGCAGGTACAAAGCAAATGAGAACCTGCTTACTGGCTATATCCAGTCATGTACCTGGAATTTGTTGTTCTGTCCCAGCATGTTACCAAGGTTGAAGTAAACTGTTGATTCATTGCCAATGTACTTTTTTGCTTCCAGAAGAACAGATATCGCCTCATCTCTATTACCTAATGGAAAAACGCGCACTCACATATACACACAAAAAAACTAAACAAAACATCATCATTTTTCGATTCAGTGTCGAAAGCAATCCAGGATTGCTTTTATTTTGCTTTTCTTCGCTCTGTGATTGGTCCAGAAAACTTGCGTCACTCTCTCAACCAGTCAGACTAAGACTAAAAACAATTACGACCTGGGCACTCGCGTTTTCCCGCGCTACGAGCTGTTTGCTTGTTTATATTTTGAGTTCTCATTGGTTTCCTGCGATAATTCCCTTTCCCATGATTGGCTGTTGTATCACCTCAGTTTTGGCTTTAAAACAATTAATCGAAATATTTCTTCTATATTGAGCTCCAAATAAAATCAGCTTATAAAAATATTAAACCCATAACCTACTTGGACACCAAAAGAAATGAACCAAATTCCCCTTGATCGTTGTTAAAATAGAAGAGGAGCTATTAACGCAAAAGCTTCCTCTGCGATTATCTAAACTACTATTCCAAATTATGTAAAGGGAAATTAACCTACATTCATTTTTAAACATAGAGAGCTATTGCGCGATAAAAAAAGAGGAAAAATTGAAATGTCACAATAATCGTTCATGAGAAAGTTATGATTTCCCTCATGCCCTGTCGAAGACATTTTATGACGTCACTTTTAATTCTTTGGCACCCTCTAACTTTTCACCCGCCCTTTGCCACCAGCGACACGATTTACAGCCCTTACCACTGTCAACACGTTTCCCGCCCTTCCGAAATGTCACACGTTTCCCGCCCGTTCGAAATGTCACACGTATTCCCGCCCTTGACACCGGTTGCACATTTTCACATGCCGCGTACCCAGACCCCTCCCTGTTGAGAAACTAATAAGTGCGTAAAGGAGGAACGGAATACAAATGAATTAAAATTTGCCTTGTCGTGGTTCCTTCGAGCCTGTACTTCATAGTCGCTCCTCAGGGTCTCAGATTTCTTCGCGCTAGCAACAGACCACGATAGTTTTCACTTCTAAAATAACACAGTAAAAGGCTTTGTGCCGGGAGTAGCCTAAAGCTCTCTCATTAAACGTTTACCTGACTTCTCCAATAGCAAAGCATGATTCATCCACGCGCCCACGTGATTGTTCTTTATATTGACAGCCATCTTAAACGCTACAATGGCTTTTTTGTGCTTTTCTTGGTCTATGTACTGAAGGAAAAAAATGATAACGTAAATAATCCAAAAAGAAAAAAAGTGTCATGTGAACTCTTGTTAATAAACACACAGTAAAATTCTTACCAGATTTCCAAGATTGAAATATGCGTCAGGATATTTCCGTCTGTAGCGTATGGCATTGCTGTAACACTTTTCTGCCTCCTTAAAATAAAGTTTAGAGTAAAAAATTAGGAAAAATCCAAGGCTAGGAGTTATCATGACAATATGGAAGAGGTGACAGAACCGTTGGGAACGCAAGTCACGCTAGGGGCAAGAAAAGATCGCGCTAGGGGCCACAAAAGATCACGTTGAGGGCTATAATAGATCTCGCTAGATGATTCTAGAATAGAGTCAGGCAAAATTCTGGAATGTTACATAATTTCTTATTTCTTGGTTACTTACATCGGGTTTTTGCAGAGCTGCTTTGACAGTTCCAAGGTTCATCCAACCAGTGGCAAAATCATTCCTGTTTCAAATAAAAGCACACAGCTGATTTCATGGTTTACAGATTGACCGAAAACATAAATGATAAACAGGTTGAGGAAATAGACGATAAATAATCGATGCTTAAAAGGTTCGTTATCGATCTTTTACACCCCAACATCAGTATCAATATTCTCCATACCTCCTGTTTACATTTCCTTTGGTACTAAAACGGAGAATTTGTTTAACAATCAAAGCTTCGTATGTTGGCTATCATGATCTTAATAAATAATTGGGCAGTATTATTGTAAAGAGAAATTAGATGCTGGTCACTCATTGGGTTAACACTTAGAAATTATCACTAGAAGTCAAATCTTTGGTTATTACTGAGAATGAAGCTGAGTCATGAGATAAATGTTATAAATAAAACGTTGTATCTCGCTTCAGCACTAACCTAATTTCTACAGCTTTCTCCAAAAGTGCTTCTGCCTCTTCGTATCTGCCGTTGTCCTTTAAACAGAGAATGATCTCTTAGTAAGCCTTCATTCTTTAAGAAACATATTTTGAAGAATCATCTATTGAGTCACAAAAGAAAGATGACGCTGGTGTTACAGGCATCATCTATAGCTGTAGAAAAATATACGTTTACCTTTATTAGGTTTCCCAGATTATTAAACGCTTGATCATACGTTGGATTCAACCTGCGCGATAAATATTGAAAACAAACGTCTCGGGTTGGAAAAGAGCTACACACTGGGTTCTAGCATAAGAGGTTGCGTGAACTTAGGACGGTCATCTCCAACATGACATGGGGAGAACTGGTAAGTTTTCACTAACATTTAAGTGTCATCATTGCATTGTGTTCAATCAAGGACGTTAAAGTCAGAGAGCACTCCCGTGAAAGCGAGAAAAATTCGGAAAAGTAGTGGAGACGTATAGTTGTGAGCAGCGTGAGCTCCACGAAGAGTGCAAAGATATTCGGAATTATAAAATTTCAGACTCCAGAAATTGCATTTCTAGTGGTCTGAGTGATTCACTCAGCTCCGGTTATCAGCTCATATGCCGATTCAACTTATATGGAAAATGATTTACCCAAGTGTTGTAGAGCTAAATCTACTTTTGGCTGGAAACAAACACTACTCTTGTGCGTTGTGGAAAATTCAACTCAATAAAAGTCATTCCATTCGCGCTTGTTGGATACGAGATTGGTTATAGCCAATCAGACGCATACTCATGAAATAATTGTTAATTAATCTGAAACAGAAGTCTGTTCTCATGTCGAGACATTTCACTCTCAAAATGCTCCGCTTCTCGTGAGTATAAAAAATAGCTGTCTGCGAGTTCGTGCGGCAAGAAAATTGGTCAAGAAGATCTCAACAGAAGATCTGCGGTAGTTATGGCCTGCTCCGCTTTAGATAGTTTATATAATAGTATTTACACGCCAGATTTGAGCACAAAGCAACAGACAACAGATCACTATAGCTTACAAAGATCTTTACCTGATAGCTTCTCTATAAAATGCTTCGGCATCTTCAATTCGTCCCTTTTCTCCTCGTACTTTAGCAACGTTATAGTGCACCTGTTTAAGGTGCAAATGAACAGTTTAACACACACAAGTTAGTTCGCCAAGACACTTGGCTCGAATTCAGCTTTCACGAGGCAGTTGGTACCGGATTTGTTGCCTACCGTTATTACTTATTGCAACGCGTTTAACAAATGTTCGACACAGCTTTTTGGAGCGCACGCAATGAGAAAGAAACCTTTTTGTTTACTTCAGAGGGTGTTGCAGCACACTGATCAGTTCTTCGTTGCAAACAAGCTTGAACCTTGACTTAAAGGCATGCAAAATCGTATGAAAATCCCATGAACTTTGACTAAATCCAACTAGAACAAATGATATCAAATTTCCTTCAAAATTCAAATGTATTACCTTAGCATTAAGCGGGCAAACTGACAATCCAGACGTAAATAACGTGTCTTCATTTATCCATTCAGCTGATCTCTGAAAAACAGAGCGCAATGTACCGTTGATACTCTCGTACTCAACGTAATCTGAAGTATTAAAAAAAAATGCTACATAGATTCACACCTTACCTGTATTGTTCGCGACAAATACAGAGCTATGAGCAAGACCATGCCGAATCCTATAACCTTAATGGATAAGAAAAATTTTTTAATATAAAAATGCAGTTAATCTAGGTTAACAACAAAGAGCGCGTCGCTGGAATGTTTATAGAGATCAGAGGTATCAGAGTTTGGTTCAAACTCTGTGCACTTGTTCCGTGACAACACGAGGTGTATTTCTATGTGTTTAAGCGTGGCGGCTTCCTATGCATTCCTCGCTTCATTCCCTCCCCTCTTCTCCAAAGCATCGTTTTCCATCGTGGGTTCCTGGATGTCTCTATGTGGGGGTCCATATCTGAGTTGTAAGGATTGCAAGCCATGTGAGCATGCTGGACACGAGAGAGACTCCAAATATCCAAAGTGAGGCCCTTACTCACCTTCTTTCCCAGTGGGAACTTGCTTAGCAAAGTAAACCCGAGGACAGTGAGGAGACAGGAACCGATACTAGAGAGATACAGAACTCTTTCAGCCACAACAAAACCAACTCTGAAGAAGATGTTCGTCGCAGGAAGAAACGGTACAACCACGAAGGCTAATCCCAGCGTCAGAATCCTAAGAAGACATTGAGCAAACCCTTAACGAAGAATGGTATTTCAAAGGTAGGCCATGGCCTTTATGGATTGGAAATATATCGTAGGTAAAGTTGCTAGTTGATGTAATTATTTGGTCTCCTTCCAAAGCCACAACCCGGCGAAAGTGGGCGGTGGGTGGTATAAAAAAAGGCCACCTAGATGTAGATTATCCTGCGTAGCTTAAAACCTGGCAATGTCGTTAAAACATACCGTTTGTTTGGTAAACTCTTCCCGAAAACACAGTAAGCGATAAGCACCAGTAACACTGTCCACAGACCGACGATACAAAGCATGCGCGGATCAGACAAGGAGTTGATCAACGGCACGCACCCCATGGACCAATCAAAACACAGCCATTGTGGTACAATAAGGAGCCACGCATTGATAGCGTACAGGTAGTTGTAGTTGATGATCTGTGAACAACGAAAAGAAGTATTTATTTCTTGTCACAACTTAAGATATCAAGTTATCTGATATCCCGGTTTGGGCATAATCCTTGTCAGTCTTTTCCATCCTAAAACTTTCTCTAGAGCCCCGAGAGTTACTGTTTCCCTTTGTTGTTAGGAACGAACAACACTTTTATAATCTTCATGGTGTTGTCGGAAACAAAGAGCGCATTAGTGATAAAATTTCTCAACTTTATTGCCTATTTACAGTCTGAAATTCTGATCTTTTTAGTATTTGTTTCTTCAGGCGACTTGACTTTTTTTTTCGGGCGACATAACTAAAATTTCGGGCAACATGACTCAGGTTTTGGGCGACATGGCCTCAGGTGAGATGACCCTCGGGCGACTTGACCGGTTACCCGCCTGGATACATCGTGAAAGAACACCTTTAAACTCCTCGTTTGAAACTCATGAGCGTGAGACCTTGTAACTGAAGCACTATTTTCGCTTACACAAGCTGGTAAATTTGTGTTGCAGTTCTAGATGGTGCCGGAATCTAAAGTCTGAGGGAACAAAATTACGTAAAACTCCATTTGTGTTCGTTGATAAAATCATGTGCATGAGAAGCACTTCCATACGCTACCTAATTTTCCAATTTTGTACGGTTAGAACATTTGTTGTTTTGCTCCAATTCTCAAATTTCAAACAGCAAGCCCAAGACTACATTTCAAATAAAAATATTCAAAAGTAAATATGTATACAGAGTATGCTCACTCTCATAATAAGAGACTCCTCAAAGGATGCAGGATTATCCACTACTTGGAAAACTGGAGGAGAAGACCCCATGATGCGCCAGCGACCGACTAGAAGAGTTATTCCGGCAAGGAACAGGACTATCTGGCGATAAATAAGCTTTATCCAGAAGGTTGATTCATTTTTCTCCTACGACAAAGAGAGCAGCATAATTAACATCAGTGAGGAGATAGTCTAAAGCTTAAAAGCGGTTTGATAATTGAGCCCAGTTGTTCAAAGGGCGTATAACGCTATCCAAGGGATAAATCGCTGTCCAGAGGATAGATGTCAATAAAACGTACTGCGCTCTCAATCTTAGAGCTATTTATTCAGCAGATAACGTTATCTACCCTTTGAATTAGCAGGAATTAAGTCCCAGGTTAAATTCTCCACTTTCGCAATCAGTTGAATTGCTTCATTAAAGGTAAAGATCACCATCTCCTAATTCTAATTTTGTTTTGTTTAATTATCATCGTTGTTATTAAGTTTAAAAATAAACTAAAAGTATCAATGTGACTATATGTATCTTTATCATTATAATTATTCTTGCTGTTGTCGTAACCGCTCTTACTGTTACTATCATTATCGAAGTCAATGATTGTGTCGTTGTCATTATCGTAGTCCTTGTCGTTATCATTGCCACTATCACTTCCATTGTCAGTATCTCTGCCATTGCCATTGTTGGTGTTATTGATGTTGGTAATGTCATCTTCATTGTCAAAGTCACAGTCAACATACATGTCTCCGTCTCTATGCCACTCTTACTGTCTATCATTGCCGTTATTAGTGTTGTTAATGTTTGTAATGTCGTCGTCATTGTCAAAGTCACAATCAACATCCATGTCTCTGTCTCTGTGCCGCTGTAACTGTCTCTATCATTGCCATTGTAAGTGTTATTAATTTTTGTAATGTCATCGTCATTGTCAAAATTACAGTCAACATCCATGTCTGTCTGTACTGCTGTAACTGTCACTATCACTGTCACTGTCAGTGTAATTGATGTTTGCAATGTCATTGTGATTTTCAAAATCACAGTCAACATCTATGTCTGTTTCTGTGCCACTGTCACTATCATTGTCATTGTCAGTGTAATTGATGTTTGCCATGTCACTGTCATTGTCAAAGTCACAATTACCATCCATGTCTCTATCTCTGTGCCACTGTAACTGTCACCATCATTGTCATTGTCAGTGTAATTGATGTTTGCCATGTCATTGTCATTGTAAAAGTCACAGTTACCATCCATGTCTCTGTCTCTGTGCCGCTGTAACTGTCACTATCACTGTCATTGTCATTGTCTTTAGCATTGCCACTGTCATGGACAATACCATCAATTTTCAATGTCATTGTCACACAAAAAGTCATAAGCAATTACCCAGGATTGAAAATTAAACCTGGTTTTAATTATTTAAAAGGATATTCTGTAGGCCCTTATCATGGTGAACGCAGATTGGTACTGTAACTTGCATTCAAGGAACCCCTTGCTAGTTAAGAAGCTTTTATAAGAAGGCTTTGATGAATGAAACAGAATTCTCTATTTTTACCTTTGAATCAACTCCATTTCTCTTCTCAGGTGAAGAGACCTTTGAGGAGACTTTCGTCAAGAGAGAGGCAGGGTCGATTTCACAAGCCACAATTAAATCATAAACACAACAGACTCCCTGTGAGTAAACATAGAGATAACACTGAATGTATAACAATTGTGTTGGAACATCTTAAACCACTATTTCAATGTCATCACTCTTCCGTCCAACTTCCATCACTTCAAACATGTTACTGAAAAGTCCAAGATTTTTTTATGTGGGATTAAATGTCTGAATGAGGATTTTAAGATTTCCATAAGAAAATGTTTGTGCAGGAGAATGGTGTAAAAAAATTGGAAACTGAATAGCAAATCAACAAATAGATTCAATGTTGACATGCATCTGTTCAGTGATAGATCAGAGATGACATCAGAATGAGTTAAGGGCACAAAAAGTGGAACAGGAGGTGCAGCCAAGGTTGTCACTGATGTTCACTTCATTAAAATGAGTTATATTACCAGAACAGTGATTCCTTGCTCCTTGCAAAGCATAGCTATACAGCAAAATACCATGCTTGACAAAAGATATTTCCATGGCAATTTATACGTTGATCCATCGTCATCAGAATCTGCAAACATCAAACATTTTTAGCTATTTTGAATATGAACCTTGCAATGGCTTAGCATGCCATAGACTTCTCTGTAACTCAGTGTTAGAGCATCACAGTGCAAAATCTGTTGGTCTGGGGTTTGATTCCTCCTGATGAACTCAGATTTTATCTCTTTGCTACATTTGTGACAAGATAAACAACATCTGTCTTTACTTTTCATCATAATTCCTTAACCCTCTACACCCTAAAATCAGTTTCCATATTCTCCAAACTCTTCTCCATACATTTCCTTCAATATTGACAAAGAGAATTTGTTCAACACTTAAGCTTCTTAGCTTGGCAATCATTTTCTCTATTCTTGTGATCTAAAAGAGTGATTCAACTATACTACTTAATGGAGAAATAAGAAGCTGGTCCCTCTTAGGGTAAAGAGTTAAAACTGAATATCCTTGAACACACAGCTTTTCTCGCAGGATTTGTTGACAATAATAAGATTAACTCCATTCAAAGAGCTAACAGAATACATAGTAAATAGCGATCAACCAATCATTAAATTGGCCTTGTTATAGGCTACACAATCCCAAAACAAATTATTTTGACATTTTAGATTAATACTCACCAACAGAACAACATTTCACATAAAAAAGAAATGAGAGGATAAAAAACACAGCACCAAGAAGATCTGCCCTTCCAACCAAACCTGAAACCTATAAAAGTAAATAAAAATATGTCAATAAATAAAAAAACAGAAACAAAATATTTCATACTCAAGCCTAATTGACATATTGCATGATTCTAGCAGGCCATTCCTCAAAATTTATTGAGGCATGTAATATCCACCTTTGACACAGAAAACAAAATAATATGTCAGCATGTTCACTCAGCAATGCAAACATCAAATGAATAAAGGGGGTAAATTTCTAAAGAAACTGGGGTGCTGCGTCAGTGGGAGAGTATAACAGGGTAATTTGGTATTATCAACTGAGTTGATAATGTAAATTGGCCACTGTAAAGAGTTTTAAAGCTGACATTTCCAGTGTTGGCCTTCATTATTCCCTCTGAAGGAGGGTTAATGCTTGAAACATCAGTTTTGGAAATCCTTACTATGGCCAATTTACTTTATCAACTCAGTTGTTATTAAAGCAGACATCAGGAAGCTTGGCACAGAGAACTGTCCTTGTCACAAACAATTACTTTATGATAAGATTTGGCAAAATTTCTGGAATCTTATTAATTAACTACAGCTTTCAGTAGTTCAATAAAGAAGAGCATGGATCTCATCTTTCAAGGTGGTACCGGTGATCAACAGTGTTCCCAATCAATTACTTATTTGTTTACCATGGAATCCAATTTGCCACTCTAAGATTAGCTATAGAAGTAATCTTCCATATCATAAATAATAGGCCACAGAAATTATCTTCCATATCATAAAGAATATGAAAAAATATCTAAGGCCATCAAAACTTTGCTAGAGAATTCTGCAGAGATGTCAGAGAATTTTCCAATCCCTGATGCCTAATGAAAGTACACTGATTTCATAAATCTTGACAACTGTTTTTCCTCTGAGCTGCATCATTTAAGTTACTTGTATGATCAATTATTTTAAATCTAAATTTCAATTTCACAGCACATGCATGTGGGGTAGTTTTTATAAACAGCTAACCCATGATTGTTGATAACCTGTGGTGTTAAACATGTAGTCCTGCACAAAAATCATTTTCCTTAGAATAAATCATTATAATCAATCTGTATACAAGAAAGCCTCACATAACAGTATCTCCCTGAACAATACTATCAACAACATAATATTTCTTGTTCAAGGATTTGCACTCAACTGTAAAATTTTTTGAGAATACTTAAGCAATAGTGGACTTTTTCCACTTAACTATAGCCTTATCCAAACACAGAGGGGATTGGGAGAATTTGAGAAAATCATGTAAATCCAAGTTTGTAAAACTTTCAAGAATACTCCCAAACCCCAAGTGTTAGGATTTTTCTATGCAAACAGGGAAAAAAGTCTTCATTAGCTTTAATGAAATATGTCTGGCAAACACAGAAAGTGTGAAATCCCGACCGTGTTTATTTTATTTTATCTACCAGTGAGAGCACATGTACTATCTTAAATAATTTATAACATTTAATATAAAATATCACCAAAAAAATTAAAATAGAAAGTAAACTGCTTTAGCCATGCACTGGACTATATCTCTGAGAAAAAAAGGAAGCAAGGAACAGTTGATAAAATTAAACAGATTTGGGCAAAACGGCTTTGAACTTTTAAAAATTCAAGCTTGCAAGTAAGCTTTCAATTAAACTACCTGCGACATGCTTGGAAAGGACAACATTAAATAATGATGAGATGTTAAAATTACTTAACTCTTAACTTACGCTAAGGTCAAATAAGTAAAAATTTAACTGTGAAATAAAATAAATGTTCGTACTTACACACTCTGTGTGGATAGGATGAACAGCAAAAAGGATCGCACCGACTAAACTTGCCCTTGAGGCTGTGAAATGAGTTCTTGCGGATGAATTATTATCACAATAAAATTTAACATTATTTTTACCACTGAAAATGATCGAAAAGAGTTTCAGACATAAGACTGACACCACAGCATGGAGTGTGACATTGACAACATGAAACCCCCAGGGATGCAGTCCTCCTGCGAGCCAATAATTGAATCGAAATGTTAGAATAGTGAAGGGACGATAGCTTTTGTGGCTGGTGTTGGAACTGATGTTCGCACCCCAGAAGTCATGATAAAACAATTCTCCAAGCGGGATGTCGGGCGTCAAGTCCTTGTTCGCCACAATTGCTTCAGAATCGTCGAAGACAAACTCGCCTTTGCATGAATTATAATAACAAAGGACAGACACACAGGTAACAAGGGTGGATGCGAGGCCAAAGGACAAGTTTGGTACAGGTAAATCACTGTCGATTTCTTCACCGTCCGTAACAAAGTTGTAATAACTTGAGATCTTTCGTTCCTCTCCAATTAATTCTCTTGCATTTTTTCTTCGAAGTCTGGTGCCATTTTCCCTATTCCTAGACGCCATGAAACGGGTTTCTTTCTAGGCTAATTTAGCAACTTTTTAACCTAATATTTCCAGCGGGCGTAACGCGCCATTTTCAAACAAAGCGCGTACAATTAAAATGTTTATCCGCACAAAAACTATTCTCTAGGGAGGGGTACGTTTTGCAGATTTACGACAAAAATTAGTAAAAGCAAAGTAAGCCGAACTGATGCAGTTAAAAGGTCATGAATAATTCAATGAAATTTTTCTAAATTCATTCAAATTAATTTTAGTTTTTTTCGCCGACAACGCACTGGTTCCCTAACAGCTGTGAAAAATGCAACTCACTTTCTCCTCCCCGGAAAGACCCACAGTTATTTTATTTCTGCGGCAAAGAATTCTGGGACATTTCAAACAACATGGCGGACGTTTGGTGTGACTTCGGTTTAAAAGTTTTGTGCTCAACCGAGGGGTAATTTATCAGGCTTAAATAATACGAATAACCCTAGAATTATCAGCTGGATTTTTTCAGATTCTTCAAGAGTTAGATAAACTGGATCTTTTCTCATCCCGGAAATCTTATCATCCTACCATTTGCGTAATTTTTTACCATTCACGTGATGAGCTAGAAACTTCCACGTTGTCAACCGACAGTATAAAACAAGGAAACTTTCCTTTGGCTGGTTTTTCGAGTGAGTAATCATATTACTTATTGGCTTTTTGTACCACGAAATTGATCTGTGTTGTTTCAAGATTTATTTTTATAGTTGTATTTTGGTACTTTGAAGTAACATTTTGATCGCGATTTAGACAAACTGATAATGTTTCATTTTCCTAGTCTTACATTCAAGTGTTCTCCCCTTTCGCAGCTTCTGAACCAGTTTAATATATGCACAGTCCTGATCGGCACTTGCCAAGCTGTTGGTGGTTGATCTTCAAAAAACATGGCGACCCTATGTGAACCTCTTCCTTTAGAGATGGAACGGTTAGCTAACGTTTACTAGATTTTAAAGCAAGTGCTATGGCTGTTGTTGTATGAATTATCCCTATTGATAACGTTTTGTCCCCATTTCGTTTTTAAATCATAACAAATGTTTTTTTTTATTTTAATAGAATTTCCTCACACAATCGTGGAAAGGATGGTGAAAATGTTTTGGGTATGGTAACACTGAATTAACCCTTTTAAGTATAAAAGATGACGAACTTGAATTTAATGTTGTACACTAAAATGGTGTTCAAGTTTGGAATGAATCTCTCTCATCGTTAGACATTTCCACAAGAGTGAGACCTAGTAGATGTTCAGCAGTTTCAATAAGATTTTGAACAGGAGGGCATCAGGATATGACTTCTGGGCAGAAAAAATCTGCAAGGCCCAAGAAGCCTTGCTCAGCTGGGGGAAAGAGGGGGGGGGGGAATTCCAGGAGAATGCACATCCATAAAAGTTTGGAAGACAGTCACTTTTTTTGTTAAGACTGTGGACAGTGTTCTAAAAAAGACAAGGACAGTGCTATATAAAATGTGAAGAAGCAGCTGGGCAAAGTTCTGTCCTCAGCTGGTCAATTTTCCCAGTGCTCTGCCCATAATGAAAGCCCTGAATGTTAAAAGTAATTATCAGTTTTCATTTGTTCATTCTCAGTGGATTACAGTAAGTTACCAAGATCCAGTGGGGATGGAATGGAATTTTCATCAAGCAATTCTGGCAATGACAGTCTCTCAGAGGATAGTGAAGAAAATGACTTGACACAAAAAGCAGATAACAGTTTATCATATTCAACTGTGAAAAGGAAATGTGGAAGAAACGGAATTGATAATGGATCAGCTAAAATAACAACTGGTACAACAATACAAGCAAATATCTCAGCAATAAAATACAGAAACGAGAATGAAATTCTTGAAAGGGAGGAAATGCGAAAATTGAGTGGTCACACAGCTTTAGCTGAATCCTCTCAATCACAGACATTGAGAAAAGATGTTATCTCCAAAACTGAAGGTGCACAGTTAAATGAGGATGTCCGTTTTCAGTCAGTACAAAGACAGAACTCTACCAATCTTCTACTCCAAGGGCCCGAGCTTCTGCGTTTGAATAATGAGTTAGGTTTATCATTAAGTGCAAATGATCAGCTTGTGTCTTTGGCTCCTCCTGCAATGGATCTCAGTCTTGGAGGTGGTCTCTTGAAATCTACTATAGTGGAACAAAGGGCTGAGTTTGTGGACAGCCAGAAAGTCATCAGTGATCTTCAGGAACAGAATGCAAAGCTTGTTGAAGAGAAGACAAAACTCTCTGTGCAGCTTGGTGTCCAGACAAAGGTTTGCAAAGAACCTATTTTTCAATTTAGTTGGACATATGTCAAAATATTTGGGTTGAGTACACCAGAGCAAAGATTTTTTAGTAAACTTTACAAAAAGAATGATGGAAGAAAGTGTTTGATTTATCTCATTTGGTCTTCCTTTTCTTTTTTCAATTTCCTATTGGCAATACTAAAATATTTAGGATAAGAACTTATTAAAAAAAAAAAAAAGCAGAATGAAAAAGACAAACTTAGAAAGAGGCATCAGTGAATATAGCAGGTTAAAAGGGCCATTTTGTCTTTCCATGACATTTTTGGGGAGGCCTTACATGTAAGTCTGTCCTTAATATGCAAGACCCAGTTTCCCTGACTCACTTTTGATCAAATTGAATGTGGCGCATGACCCTGTACAATAATGATGGTAATAGGACCGAGTGGAGTCCAATTCAGTCTGTAATCATACAAGTGATTAACAGAATCGAATGACCGCCCGATTTGTCATGAGTATGATTACAGACAGAATTGGACAACACAGAGTCCTATTAACAATTAATCATAACTGTTATAATTTCTGAAAACAACAAAATTAATACATTTAGGGCAAATATGTGCCCTATGTAAAAAATTCCTCAACTTTGGAAATTCCACAACTTTTTTAGGATAAGTGGTTGTTGCTATGGTTATTGTGAACCATTCTGTGATTGGTGGATTTGACTATTTTCTATAATAACAACAAGGAAAATTCACTTAACAATCAACAGCTTCTTAAGATGGTGATTGTTTCCTTTACTCCTAAGACCTCAATGTTTGTTTCAGGGGGGATACTTTAAAGTGAAATTAATGCTAGCAAGTCTTTGGGGAAAAGAGTTCACTCCCAGAAGTGATTAAAAATGAAATTATTCCTACATCATGTTATACTTCATGTTAAGAGGTTTTAGGTTATTTCATTTTCTGTAAGTCAGCAGGACACCCGATATTCAGCACACTTGGCTGGCCAATTGGTGATGGAAAATATAACATAAGCAAAGCTTGTTAAAATTGAGTTGTCTTTTTCCAGATTAATACAGAAATTAAGAGGTTGCTGGTGGCATCAGTGGGAGAAGATGTTGGTGAAAGGTACTTTAAACTATCAGTTCAAATATATAAAGAGTATTGGAATGTTTTTTTTTTTTTTTTGGGGGGGGGGGGAATAGTTCATATGAACTTAGGAATCTGTTGACAGGGTGGAAGGGTTGCACTACTGATATTTTGAAAATCTGTATAAGATTCTGAATAAAATATAAATTACCCCTTTGCCATGTTACCCACACCGAGTTGGATTGTTCTCAAGCTGAGAAATCCTGCTGTGCAGAGGTAGTCATGTCATCCATTGTTACATTTAGTGAATTCTTTGATTACATTGTATTTATCATTGCACATGAATTACGTCTATTTAGCCAACGCAAAAGACAGGAAGAAAACCCAAGTGTTGAAACCTTTTTCTGTCAGTATTTTTCCCCCCTTAAGAAAATTTGATTGTCTCACACAAGAAGTCATATCTAACTTTCCTGATGAGTCCTGTTTGTTTTGATCTTGGTTAGGTTGGAAGACCTGGTGAACAGAAATGTGCAGCAAACTGTAGAGCTCAATCACTGGAAAAAGATGTGTGAGGAATATTCAGAAGAATCTGACAGATTAGAGATTGAGTGTGATGTCTGGAGGACAAAGTTCCTGGCAAGCAGGTAAAGAGGGTTTCCAGGAGAAAAGTGGCATATTTTCTGTTTCAAATAGTGATCAGGAGTATTGCCACTCCCTTTGGGATGCCAGTCTATTGCAAGATGCCCCTGAGATATTTTAAAGTTATTCTATAACCAGAAACATGAATTGATCTCTGTAAGTTTTTTCACTTCAGAATGATGTCTGATGAACTGTCCAGTTGGAAGGCAACTCTCTACACCAGGTTCAGACAAGCTCAGAGTGCTTTACAAAGATTACTGGAGGAAAGGGGACAGCTTCAGCAATACCTCACTCATACCAAGAGGTATTAAATTTATAACTTCTGACTAACTGAGATCAAAAGCCATACCAAGGAATATTGTCCCAAGGTTGTGGCAGTATAGACTGAGTGCAGCAAGGTCTGTACAGAAACAACCAAGGGCTAATATTACCCCAGTGTGGCTTGAGCAAGCAAGGTTGGTGAGTATTCTATTATATGGCACTCAGACCAAACTTGTTTGCTGGTTTTTGAAACCAAAACTACACAGCTTATGACAGTTTTGGTAGAAATGGTCCATATGGCAAAACAAGGACTAATTAAGAACCAATCAAAGTGCTTTTATTTATTTCAGGACTACCTTGCCATGCAATAATCATTAATACCCTCCCTTTAAAAAGAGAATATCTTATAAAAGAAACCTATTTCAACTTAAATTTTGTAGCCCTGGTGATAATCTGACTTAATTAAACAAGGATACAAATTTTCCCTACATAATATATCCATAAATTGATTTTTGTTATTTCAGGTTAGTTCAATCACTTTACTCAATGTTCAAAAGTACAAGTGGCATTCATCAGAGCCCCTTAACTTCATCTCAAACTTCAAATGATCAAAGCATCTTAGAAATGGCTGCTACAAACAAGTCCTTAGCAGAACAGACCCTTAGTCTTGCACAAGATGTTTTACCAGCCTTCTCATTAGCAGAAACATCACTAATGTTGACACATAAGTTGCAGGAAACTGGGAATCAGCAACAGGTTGAGCCAACATCTGCTGAAAAACTGGCTTTTCAGGTGAGACTAGTCTGGGTAATTTACAACTGCGTGGTGGCACCTCCATTCAAGATCACCTCAGGCTCCTCTCTCTAAGGAAAAAAAAAAGGAGCCTGGAGGCATACATGTAAAACCAAAGCATAGAACCGTGATCACATAAGTGTTAGTAATGTTTTAAATTTAAATTCACATTTTCTCAGCTAGAAATCGTCTTTTTTTTAAAATAACTTGCTAAGATTATTAAATGAAGCAGGCATATTTGGGTACTGGTGTAATTTTTTAAGGAAGGTTGTTATTAGGTGGATTTAGTTTTAGGTATGTTTTAAGTACTTTTAAAGTTTTTACACCACAAACGAGCTGTCTATTGTTTATTGTTAAATATGGAAGGCACAAATGTGGTCTTGCATCAAGCTTGTTTTGTTGGATAAACCAGGGGTTTGATAGGTCTTGTAGAGGTCTTATATGCAGTCTTCTGCCAACCATGAGACCTTAAAAAGTTATGAGTAGGATCCTGTGTTTTGGTGGGCCTTATGGCCTCTTTCTGGGCACAGCCACCTATTATGTCATTGCAGTTGCTAAGGGAAATAGTTACAGAAACCCTCAATAAACCAGGCACATTACAAAAAGTTTTAAGATGAATTTGCCCTTGGAGTAATGTGTGATGGGTTTGTCAAAACAGGCATGCAACCATGATGACAGGAAGGTTTGAGATAGATCCATGGGACAGAATACTAGACATTGTAGTTTTCATTCGACTGAATTGTATAATTCCCTGGGTTTCTTTTTATCTAGGTTTTATCTAGTGATGTCAATCTCCAGGCAGAGGAACAACAGCTGAAAGGTGTTATGAAGAGAATGGCACAACAGTACATGGGACATGATTATCAAAGTAGATTTTCAACAAGGAACTTTAGAGTAACCTATGACTGTTGTGATCGATGTAGGGGACCACTTCATGTTGTTTGAGAACATTTGTACTTGGTGTTATTCCATTTTATGCTTGCTTTGAATTTTATTTAATTTAATATCACCCTGCATTTTTGCTGGGGGTGGAGGAAGGGGGGTGGTGATAAACCCTTTAACTACTGGAAGTGATTCACATGTAACTTCTCCCCATAACATCCACACATTATCCATCAAAAAGGTAATGAGAACACTAAAACTTATCAGGTAGAAGTAGTTGTCTTGATCTGTCACCAAATTCTTGTTACTGATTTACAAAGAAATATGTACCAGCTAGAGGGGAGAGTTAATCATCAGATCTTTAAAGTTTAAGGGTTAAAAGTGTTTTCAACTGAGTATGATAGAATTTAAAGTACAGAGAGATTGAAGCAAAAGGTGCTTTTGTTCTGAAGATAACAAAAAAGGATATTGTTTTACATGATTTCTTAATACCTTGTAGATATTACAACAATTGCTTTAAATTTAACCATTTTCTTTCAAAGAGAAGGAAAGTGAGCTTGGTAATCATTCTCTAGTTTTTTAAATATCATTGGAAAATTGTACTTGACTATACTGTTTTAGGAATTTCAGTTATTTATAATGGTAATAGGACCGAGTGGAGTTCAATTCGGTCTGTAATCATAAGAGTGATTACCAAAATCGGACGAACGCGAAGCGGGAGTCCGATTTGTCAATCACGAGTATGATTACAGACAGAATTGGATGACACAAAGTCCTGTTACCAATTAATCATAACTGTTTCAATTTCCGACAACAATTAATACATTTAGGACAAATATGTGCAGTAGAGACAATGTCTAAGTAAAATATTCCTCAACTTTGGAAATTCCACAACTTTTTTAGAAGAGGTTGTTGCTATGGTTATGGTGATCAATTCTGTGATTGGTGGATTTGACTGAAAGGACCAAGTATGATTGGCTACTTCAGCTGTCCGATTGTCCAATTACACTGTCCGATTACAACTCTACAGAACAATTAGTGAAAAATAAAGTAGCTACTGCACCAATCACATTTGAGGAAATTGTAATGGCTATGATTAAATTAGTTATTTATTGAAGTATTGTCATGATACAATGATAAAATTTATTTTCATTGGTGTTTGTCGATTTGGGGTTGAATTGCATACAATGTTTCAAATTAAATTGAAAATAGCTGAGTTCTAAAGAAGTTAAGACCATAAGTATTTTGATTACTGAAGAAGAATAAGACGTCCAGACTTTTTTCTTTGTTTGTACAGTTATCTGTAAGAACTGCTTAACTATACATATAAAAGAAAATGTGCTGTTTTTAAAGTTATTTATTATTAATGTTTCCAGCTAAGCCAGAAATTTTCTGAATCTTATTCTGTTACGTTTTTACGCGTTGAAATTTTTGCTACTAATGGCTGTAATATTGTCAGGAAATCTCGCCAGATTGAACGCATTATGTGCTTTCTCAGTACGTGAGATTGCCAGTAAGATAATTTGAAGTATCTCCACTGTTGTAATGATATACAACTATGTTTACCTACGCGCAGGTCGGTTGAGATGAGGAATTTTTGAAAAACATCACCAGCGGCTAGAAAATTTACGAGCTCTTCTTTCGATTTGGTGTTTCTCGTTGAACTTCCTACTTCGTCGTCTAACGCTTTTGACGAATGAAATTAATTTATTTTCCAGAATATAGGTTTTCCGAGCAGTTTTTAAAATTTTGCGATGCAAGGACAAACCAAGAATAGCTACCGCAAAGCGTCCAATAATTGTACAGGTTTATGAAACGTTGAGGAAAAAAATTGGATCATCAACAGCGCTTAAATCTTCAGTACAACCCTGTTATTTCTCAAAAGATCTGTCAATGGGTAATTAGTGAATGACCTATATTTAAAATGACTTGGCAAAAGAGGGAAACAATGGAGGAGAAAGCAAACGATATTGGTGTACTTTGTGGTAAACAATCAACTGACTCGTGAAACGCAAGCGGCAGAATAAGTTAGAGAACTATCTTGCTTCTGAACACACGTTGTCAAGGGAAGTTAGCAAAGTTTTGGAAATTATTAGACTTGATTTGTTACTGCGTTCTTAGCAAAAAACTATTGAATATCACACTTGTAGCTTTTTTTATTCAGCCCAATGGCTGTATTGAAAGATAAAGCGTGGAAATGACATAAATAGAAATGACAAGTACATTCTTACCACTCAGAAAAGAGAGCACCATGTACAGTACCTTGCAACAACTGTTGGGAGAACTATTACAAAGACGGAGCTTTCGTGATCATCCGAGTAGTAGCTTTTTAGAAACTAAAAGCAAAATACGATGACGGAAGCGACATCGAATGACAGATTTGAATTAAAAATTCTGAATGAACGTGCTCGTGCATTACGGAGAGCTCTTGGACTGTTACCTTCATCGACGGAACTACGTTTGATTTTTATTAGAATTATTCGAGCTTCTAGAGCAAAAATGTAACTGTAGACACAGACTAAAGAAAAGAGGAATTCTGTTTTAAACAGAAATGACAATCGAGGAAATTCACGGCCCTTATTTCACTCCAACCTCACAACAACCTGTCGACGAAATTTACTCCGGAAGACGATCTGCAAAATGAATCTGAATAGAAGTTTTGACACCGATTTGAAGCTCCTCTTGGAAATTATATTTCTCTTTAACCTCCTAGATAATAAGGTATCAACAGACACACTAACATCACTCGTTAAAAAAAACACATTTAAACTAATAAATCGCAAGGGAATAAACACTCAAGCATACAGCTTGAGATACCGCTAGAGAGGAAGGCGCTGGCCGACAGAATTCGTGGCTCTAAGATCCTTCTTTTCATGCTAAGGCGCGTGCGTATAGGACAGAGGAAAAAAGGAAGGCTTTATAAAATGTACCACGAGGAAGACCGACAGAGGGGTGGGGAATATAAAACCCTGCAATACAATCACATTAATTGGGCTCGAGTATGGAGCGTTTAATAAAGAAACATTTATTACCAGTAAAAAGAGGGAAGAGCTTTTGGGTGTCAAGTGATCTGGTATACATCAGACATTTGATAATTCAAACTATCGCTAACCCTGACCAAACAGAGCCCCATAAGGATGACAACGATAAAATTGTTCTAAAAAAGAATTATTCTGTGGAAATAGGGAAACATGGCTATACGAAAAAATCATGTTATAACGTAACAGTTATACTTGATAAAAACTATAAACGATTAATCACAGCGTTTCCAACGCCATGAAGCGTGTGTGATAACTAGTTGGGAGGGAAGCTCCACATTCGAGGCGATGCTCTTTTAGTTTTGAGTTGTCATGGATGACTAAACCACAAAATATGAAATTTCCACGAGATTGGGATGAAGGAAACACAGCATCATTTCACTGCTAATTTTTCCGATCGACTTTTAGCAATGTACTTTAAGAATATTTTTTCAACCATTTTGAAATCATTGATAATCCTTGCACTCTGATTGGCTCTCAGCAGTGCAATTTATTCGCTAGTTACACTATTTTTGCTCAAAATCGCATTTCCTCCCAGCCAATAAGAAAACAAAATTAAACCAAAACAACCAAGTACGTTTCAAGGCTTGTTTGAAGTAACTGATCAAATTGCAGCAACACAAATTTTGAAACTTTTTCCCTAACAACTTTTTTGTTTGTTTAAACCAGCTCACCACTGGATCAGTAAGATGTCTGAGTTGTCCAAGTAACAATCACCGAAGTGGAGGTAAATAGTGGTTAATTTCCATAAATTTCACCGACACTGAGGTGAAAATTGTTTTAGTACATACTACAGAGAAACCAAAATAAAATCAGTTTATTTCTGTCAATATACCCTAAAATGGTCGGAACTTAGATTGTTAACGCTCGATTTTGTCTCCACGGCTGCTCAGAGGTGAAGAGCCGTACTTACCTATCGCTTCCGAAGTAGCCAATCAGTGCGCGCGAAAAGCACTATTCGCTTGTGTGGAATATATATGCGTTATCGATCAAGCGTGAGGTCAAGATGGCTGAATATTGCCCGAGTTCGTTTTTATTTTCCAATAAAAACGCAATAAAGAACGAGGCTGAGCTATCTTGTGCGAACAAGCTTGACAGGAGCCAATTAAGTAATGGGCTCTTGGCTTGGTCAATCAAGAATTTATCATAAAGCAAATAGATTTCGCTTTCTAACATTTAAGTATCGAGAATGACTTATTTATTTCGAGGGCCGGGATGGATAGTCATTTCTGTTTGTAGCTCAATAAAACGACCAGATTCGTTTATATTTGCTTCGTTTTTTTTCTTCTTATTATTCATATCAAACTCATGGGGTACAAATAGTCTTAACATGAATGTAGTGACCACGCCCACTTCAACACCCCACTCAAATCGAGTGTAATTTTCGAATGTTTTACCATCGTGCGGATTCTCTACGGAAAAAGCGCTCAATGTACCTCTGAAATATTAAACTATAATATTGTGGCTTTCTATTTCGCTAATTTTCTAACTTTAAGGTAAAGTTTTTCCCTCGTCATTTTTACCTTTTCTTCGAGCGGTTGCGTGAAATTAACAAGGCGTTTTTGATCAAAACACGACCGAGCGAAGGGTCTCGGGCGATATCTCTTTTACGCAGGCGAAAATTACAAATGTACCGCCAGAATCAAAAAGAGGAACAAATTTCCTTTGTTTTGATATGTAAAGTGTCGGACAAAAAGCAGATTTACCCTCGTCAAATGGCGTTTCAAAACAGCTGTATCTTCCTCCTTTTGATTTTTTCCTGTTTTGTAAAGCGTGAAAGCAGTAGGAGAGGGATCGAGAAACTCAGAAAGCGCTTCGGGAATTAACCTGCCATCGTTTACTTACAAGATAAACAAGTAAGATTTGTGAAGTTCGTTGAAGTATGAAGTCTAAATAAAAGCCTTTTTTAAGCTTGTTTGCTGGATTTTTCGTAAACTTCCCTGATTAATTTTTCGTTTCAGCTTACTAATCTATACTATTTCAAAGCAATGTAAAGACGAAGACGGAGAACCATGAGTCGGTCCTTTCAACAATCGTAAACAAAGTGTTTGATTAATCGGGTATACGAGGTGTAATAATCAATAGCCGCATATCAGAAGTCTTCAGAAAGAAAGTAACTGTCTTCAGAAAGCTGTCAAGAAAGCTAGTGATCGTGGCGGATGGCAATTAAATGCACTTCTTAGCAAAGTTGGAAACGGGCCCTCGGTATCGATTTAATATCATATCGATCATACAGTTTTGTATCTTTATTCCGTGGATTCGCCTTTCTAACGAGGGTGTATGTTGAGTATTCATTGCAAAATCGCTTTGTTTTTTTTAATTTCCCTCTTTGGCTTGTCTGCTATTTTGAAAATTCGTAACGGAGAGCATGCGCATTACGTGGGGTTAGTGGTTGCGTACACCTGGAACCGAGAAAAACAAATGTTCGTCGCACTGGGGAAAGAGTTTGATATGTTATCTTCTGCCGCTTTTTGCGACTCCATGGCCGACATTGTCCCAAAATTTCGAACTATTTAAGTCCGTTACACACACTTCTTTTCCTTGCGCGGGATCAAAGCCGGCGGGCAATCCCGAGCGGGCAATTCCGTCGGGCGGAATGGGCCCATCTTGCCCGCTCGGATAGCCAACCAGAGCACTCTTCATATTACTCATGGGCACTGCCAGCGATATGATAAACTAGAATTATGTATTTGGGCGTTTAAATTTTGCGATTTTAAACAGTTGTAGGGAAGTGGCCAGTATTATATTGTGCAATTTTTGTCTGAAATCGTATTCCAGGTAAAAACGTGATTTATTTTGTCGCTGAAGACAAAAATAAACTACTCTCGTTGGTTTATTGTGCTACAAAAACAGGCTTTCTTTCACAGATCTCGAGGTAAACACATTTTTTTCCTCTTTAAGCACGAAATTTGCCAATATTTCAGTCCTGCGACAAACTTGAAAACAATGAGTCAGCATTTCCAGATAATTCGACAAACTAGTTCCTCTCAGGTTTATAAGAAAGTTAATGACGAAGTGCAAGTTATTCTGATCACTCAACCAGTTACCATAATAATGTGACAGACGGAACAAACGTGGAGCTTGCAAAATACTACAGACTTGATTCAAGTAAAGCAGCT